AACTAAGCATTCTGAAGGAGCGATATAAGCCGGTCAATTTTTGATAGAGAGTCTAGACTCAAACAAGATAGCGGTGGATTTATAATCCAGTTTGTACGCCTTGAACAAGACCCATTTAAAATTACATTCTTTTAAGTTTGACCAAAATTCCGTAATATCTTATCGAGAAAATAAATACAACAAACCGTCACTTAGATATGCCTCCTTTGATAAAAACCTTTTATTTTTTTTACTTACTTACTTTCAAATGGACAAAATTCGGTGCTGCCGTGAGTAGTGCGGGTTACAATTGCCGCGATGATTTGACTGAAATGACAACCCCGCTCAGATGAATTCGCACTTTTTTTATATTTATTTATTTATTTCAGAGACATTACATTTTTGAGACCCTGCAGTTCTGCACCGCTTTGTTCCCCATACAGCTAAGGTTATGTTTGGAAGTTAACGCTGATATTCTTAAATGGTAACTGATGACAAAAGTGTTGAGAAATCAGTTTCGGCAAACCTAACACGTTTTGAAAAACCTTGTCTATCAAAGTAATCTCCACGACGCTCATGAGTCAGGCGAAAAATAGTGTTGATTTTCGAATTCATCTTTCTCTGCAGCCGTTCACATCGCTTGGATTGGGAGTACAAGTTCTGTACACTATGTGACGAAAGTAGAAGAAAAGGTCCATAAGATGGACATTCATATTTTTTAGATCAGCGGATAAATAGGTTCGGATTTAAAAATTTCGATTTTCAGTTTTCGGTGCTAAATTTTCCTATACTCCTCAGAACATCGAGTCAAAATTTTAAGCTGAAATTTGCATCACTAATGGTGTTATACACGTTTTAAAAGGAATACATTTTATAACTGACAACACACCGGTGAACTGTATCAGCTGCCCTCTTCAATTCTCCGTTTTCCGTCCCCAAAAGTTGAAATTGTTTTATTATTATTTGGATTATAATTAATATTAAGTTAATATTTTTGATTAGTCTTCCTTTGAGTTACATTGACCAAATCATTAGGGTGAAAATTCGTAACTTCGTCAAAGTCAGGAGCGATTTGCCGAGTTGACTCATTGAGTTTAACTAATTACGTACGCCGGACGCAGCGCGGTTGGCGCGGAACGCATATTAGCGCCTGCAAGACTGTATGAATACTGCGCGCATTGCGCGCTCATCACGTACCGAACCTACCAGTTGGACCAAAATGGTAGTGGGCTAATGATACGCTGACATTCCGCAAGTTGCAACCTCTGGGTAACATTGAGTGAAGTAAAGTTACATTAGCTCAGCAGGACACTTTCTTCATCCTCAAAAGTCTTAGAGTAACCAACAGCTCCGCCGCTCCGGTCCATTTAACCAAAATTTTTGATTGATCAACCAAGTCCTTTTGGTTGGTCCTGGCGACATTTAGCCGCCAAGGTTCATTATCCTCCCAAAGCCTTTCAGGGAGTTGGCACTCCCTCGTTTTCTTCTAAAACCCCCTGTCGTCACCCTTTCACCGGGTATCCCCTTCGCCTCCTCCCTGAAAATGACCCTTGTCTTGCGGGCTGATCATTGAGATGGATAGACAAAGAAGACATGGGGAGTATAGAGCGATCCTATGGGTTGAATTGAGTGGTTCCTATGGACCAGGGAGAAAATGATGGACTAACTATAGAGTCGTGGGTTGCCATTAGTTAGTCTATTACTCGCCTCCTTTGACTATTGCGACCACCCCTACACAGCCGATCGTATCGCCCCCTTTTCCCTCTGTCTATTATGTCTATAGCTTTGTCTATAAATTTCAATGGCACCGAATGGAGATGCTGCATGTGTGAGGTATTAGCGATTTGACCATGATTTTTAAGTAAAAGTTCGCGAGAAACACGATAGTGCCACTGGTTTTCTCTGAAATCATCTCCCAAGCTCAAAAAAGCTCTCAAAGTGAGACCAAAATGGAAGGAATATCCCACCGTACCCTGAGAGTCCACTTCTACATCAAAACAAACTCTCTATACATAGATAGGAGGCAAATATATTAGCAGGGTTGCCACTTTATTTGGGGACTCCAAAACTGAAAACACGGCAACCCTGCTAATGTATTTGCTCCCTATCTTTGCATGAAGAGTTTGTTTTGATGTAGAGGTGGACTCTCAGGGTAGGGTGGGATATCCCCTCCATTTTGGCCTCAACTTGAGAGCTTCTTTTGAGCTTGGGAGTTGATTTCAGAGAAAACCAGTGGCATCATCGTGTTTCTCGCGAACTTTTACATAAGAATCCATGGTCAAATCGCAAATCCCTCACACATGCAACATCTCCATTCCATTCCTGGACTTCATCGAGTGTGGGCAGCCTATACGATCGCTGAAATATCCCGTCTCCGTATGGACGGGCATGTAAATGAAGTGACGGGAATGGTTTTTGGTCCGCGACAGCTAGTGACTGAGGCTTCGAGGCGTCGAGGGTTCGAGGGCCGAGGACGGATCGATTGGGCACACATTGACGGAGCTCATCGTGGACACGACCGGCCCATCGGACCCGCGTCCACTCCATCCGCGGCTGCCCCTGACCTCCTTACGTCCGCCCCGCGACCCCCACCCCCTNCCCCTCACCCACCTGGAGTCCACTAGAGTTCGAGCCGAGACCGGGACACCCCGGATCCCGTCATTGAATACGCACCTCCTCGGCCCTGAATTCGGCGGCTCCTCCACTCTTTATTAAGTCTAGTCTCCGAGGTAAACAGCCCCCCTCCTTTGTTCATCCTCACTTTCGGAGGGCCGTCCTCCGATCGATCTGCGCCGCGGTAAAAATACGCGCGAATCCCACTCAGAACAAGTTTTAATCGCCGAAATAGTCATTTTCAGCAGGCTGGTTATTGAAATGGATAGACAAGGCTATAGACAAAGGAGACAAAAAGAGATACGGAGGGATCTGCAGCCTAATCAAATTGTTTGTTTGTCGGGATGACATAGGTTAAAAGGCGGAGCGTGATTGGTCGGCTATGTCTTATCGCTGCTTTGTCGTGCCTATGTCGGGTTGAACTCACGACAAGCTAACGGCACCTCTTAAGTTTCCGACAGTATGTCGTCCATTCCACCTGACAAAGGCACGACAAAGCAGTGATAAGACATAGCCGACCAATCACGCTCCGCTTTTTAACCTATGTCATCTATGTTGTCCCGACAAACAAAAAAATTCAACAATCAGGCTGCTGTAGGTAGAAGCGGGTAACCACAGCTTGTAATTTTAATGTTGAAGTGATATTTATCTGTAAAAGAATGGAGTCGAGTAAACTATTGCTACACTACTGATTTCATCAATTTTTGTGTAAAAATTAGCGATAACGAATAATTTTAATTGTTTTGTCATTGAGCTTCATCGAATCCTCGCTCCTCACACTTATAGACGTGTTGCTGCGTTGGTCAATGCGTAAGATGCAACTATTCGACCATCGGTGTACACTTCAGTATCGCTCCTAATTGAAGGCGTTTTAGTGCAAAGTATTCAGTTGTGCATTCGCCTTTGAAAGTCGAACAATTCGAACATACTGCTAAGCCCGTCGTTTCCGTGGGTGCATTGACGGGTCCAGCAAATTGGCGACATTGTCTTTTCTCCATTTAAACCCATGGGAATAAATCGATTCTCGGAGGAGTGTTTCGACTAGGATTGATTTTTCAACGCAAGTTTAAATGGAGGAAATCCAGCGTTGCCAAATTGCTGGATCCGCCTCTAGGGTTGAGGTATACCAACGACTAACAGTTAGTCATAGGGAGGCGCCAACAGAAAGTGGCACCAACCGGCACGTAAACGCACGGAGAAGGATGAGGGATGAAGGGGATTCTGTAGAGTGGGATCATCCACCAACTCGACTTCCACATGCAAATGGTTTGGAAAATTCCTCAAAACACGGTCTCCCATTAAATTCCTGGCAGAACACCTTTAGCATATCAAAAAATGTCAACAATAAACCAAATTGCTATGAGCCGTAAGTGCAGTGTTGCATATTGCGGTTCGTGTGGCAGTAGTTCCTAGTTTAGAAACCGCGTTCTCAATTGATGCAACCGAGCTTTTTCTACAGTTAGATTTGATTTCAAAGTTCGGTTGCATGAATCGAGGATAGGTACGGTTCGTAGAACCAAGAGAATGGTTATTTGAATCGAATACTGCGACCGACATGCATCACCGTTTTCTAACGATTCATATGACAAAATTTTGTTCTTAGTGCATGAGTGAAGAATCATTTTTTTTTTTTTTTTTTTTTTTTTTTTTTTTTTTTTTTTTTTTAAATTACAATCGAGCAATTAAAACTTCCCACTCTCGCAAAAACCAAAATTAAAGTTTATCAATACAATGAATTCCTAAATAGTAAAAGTTCGATGCTTCAGGACCCCGCTGAGAGGGCTATAAACTTCGTATAGTTATGACTGATGAGCGAGGTTTTCGACGACATTTGACCATTTGTTCCAAGTAAATTTCTCAACGCAAAAGTTGTCACTCATTGCAATTTGGAAACGCGCAATTTTTTACGAAAAATCCTCGAGAATTCAAGGTAAAAACTGTACCTCACGTTGTGACACGACTCAAATTAGCCGATGCCGCTCTTGCAATATGATAGTTTTTCCTTCAAAGTGTAGTTATATTTCTTCAATTCAAATATTTTCTACCCTCATTATTACATTTTTCTCACTTGCTAGTTCCTCTTTTCGCTCTCTTCATCCCTCTTCCATTGCAATCCCGCTACAGCATTGACGGACACGTCCGAAATAATGACTCGGTTTCTACACGAAGACCGTTATTCCCACAGGTTATGTCCAATTTATCTTTCAGAGCACCGTATACGAGAATACAAATATGAAAAGAGCAGAATATGAGAGTAGTAGCATTGATAAAGTTCTCGATCACTAGTTCACCGGGTCACCGAAGGCTATTCTTAAACCTTCTACGCTGATTACATTTTCTTCCCACGTTTCATTCAACGAGTTGCATGCGGTTTCACACTCACGAACCTAGTTTCCTTTGTGTTTCAGGTGGACCAGGGAGCGGTAAGGTGACCCATTGTGATAGTCTCACGCAGGAAAAAAGAGGGGTTGTCCACATCAATATGACCGATCTACTTCAACAATACAGTGTTGGAGACTGTGAGTAATTCCACCTTGTTTCACCTCCGCCCAGTTTTATCAAAAATTACGTCAACTTTGCCCAGCTTTGCAGAGGCACATACTAACACTGTTGTGCTAAAGGAAGGGCGCCGTATGAGCCTTCAGACGTTGCCAAATTTTCTCCCGGAAAAATTTATCCTTGAAGAAAGTTATGGATGAAGGGTGAAGGATATTCTTCCTCAAAATTTTAAAAAAATTTAGATCAAATTGCGAACAGAATTCTCTGCAAAATCGGGAGAAAAATATCTACAATTTTTCCAAACATTCGTGTTTTTTTAAAATAAATTTGGCATCATCTAAAGGCCCATACAGCGTTCTTCCTCAGCTCGGTAGAACAGAACATGTTTCATTTATGATTGCTGTAATGGCGACTGTCGAGAGAAAAAGAGGCCTTGGTCCACGAAAACACACTTTCCAGTAAAGCTAATTTGGTTAAAGGAAATGATCAAATTTTCACATTTCAAACGTGCACAATCTTTAAAGTCTTAAAAAATGAGTTGCAAGAGGTTTAATAAATTTCAGTGCCCCCTAAAATATAAAGTTGCATTATGATTAAGAAATCTTTACGTCTTGAACCGGAGGCTGATTAAAATTTGACATAGGTTTTTGTTTTTCACCATCGTTTTGGAATTTCACCATTCGCCTCTGTCTCCGTAATTAAGTTTTTCTTTTATTATTTTTTTTTTCTGGATACCCCTCTTCAAACTAATAATAAAGTATGAGGAAGCCTCCTGACTAGAGGCTCAGTTCTAGTGCTTGGATCTGATTTGTTAAAAGAGTACATATTTTGCAGGCTGTATCATCTGCCGAGCTGCGTGAATATTTCACCCAGTACAGCGTGACAACTAATGATAAACGATTTTTTTTTCAGCTGCTGGAACAAGTGATTTCAGTCGTTTGATGAGTCGAACTGTAACCGAGGTTTTAATGTTGGAGATGAAAATGGCGCCGGCAGCCAAGACTTACCTTGTCTCGGGATATCCGAGGAATATGCGTGATTTAGTAGAATATTCTAATAAGGTAAACTAATTTTATAATTTCATTTATCATTGGAATGCGCACACTTGCCTTGTTTCTATGGTCCAGTTCATGCTTAAAATAAACCAGTCACAACTTAAGGCGCAAGATTTCAGGTCGGGATCCTTAAAAAAAAGTGAACTAGTGATTTTGGAAGACATAGTTCTAAGAAGGGAATGGAAATAGCAGGAAGGAAAGCAAAAAATGATCAACCAGAAATATCGACGGTGAAACTACCAAACCACGTATCTCGTTTGCGGTGTTTAAAAATCTCCGCTCACATTTTATTTTTTTGAAGTAGACCAAATAAATATCATTCCTTGAAATTTTCACAGAATTTTCTCCGCACGAAGAGGAAAAATCACGGAAATTTTCAAGACTGGACGTTAAGTAGCTTTTCATTTAAAAAATAAAGTATGACAAGAAGTCTGCGACGTCGCAAACCGAGATACGTGGTTTGGTAGTTTCACCGTCGATATGTAACCGAGCTAAGTATATAGTATGTTCAATATTAGAGCAGTTTTGTATTTGTATTTCCTTGCCATGAACATTACGAGACATTTTGTACCTTGATGTCAAATCATTTTGCATACATGAGCGCAGCTAGACAATACTTTTTAGAGAGAAGTGCAGAAAAGAGCGTTATTCTTCAGGGAGTTTCAATGGTATTGAGGGCCTACATGTGGTCACAATTTTGCCTCGGAGTGGAAGGGAAGGGAGGTGGAAGCTATAGCTACGTCAATGTTTTCGCATTTAGTTCTGCCTCTATATAACTTAGCGAGTGTTAAACCATTTAAGAAAGAGTTCGGACAGAGAATACAATTAGATGGGAAAAGGGAGAATACAGATGGAAGAATGTTGGTGCGTTAAAAAAGAATATAAAGACTTCATTGGTTCATTGCGATTAATTTATTTTGTATTTGGTGATTTGCGTGAAGAATACATGCTTGAATGAAAGGTGAAAGTGGTCCTAGTTTGAATGTAACGAAGGCACTTTTTATGCCTTAAGTTTTCTTCAATTAATCTCATATAATTACAGATACAAACAATTAGTGGAGTTATCCTTGTCTCTTGGCGACAGCGAGTTCTAGAGAGGCAGATTGAATACGGAGCCAAATTGGGTCACGTTGTTCTCGGCCTGGCGCGGATGGAGCTGGCCAATTTTTATAAGAACGTGATCCCTGTCATAGATTACTTTGATCAGAAGAAAATGCTCACAATGGTAAGAATCTCCTTTATTCCAATTTTTTTCTTGGCACCGTGCTCTTCATTACAAGAAATTTTATTATTGATCATCGTCCACTGGAAAAAAAAGTCGCTTGGATCTAGAGTCCAGACTCTTGAAAACGATGACAAGAAAAAATACTCTCGAATTAATCTGCTTTTTACTTGAATCAAAAAGAAATCCGCTCAAACTAAGAGACTTGGTTCTCGATTTAAGCAAAAATCCGATTGAATCAAGAGTATTTTTTCTTGTCGATGTTTTTAAGAGTCTGGACTCTAGATCTAAGCGACTTTTTTCTCAGTGTCTAACTCCGCATCATCAGGTGACAATTTTCGCCACTTTTTTTTCGCCAATTTTGTCATGTTTGACAAAATTTTCATAATCATTGCTAAAAATGTACGAGTTTTTCTTTTAGAATCAATAAATAAGTTATTTTGCACTACACAAGGTCAGCATTCGCTGCGTGTATGCACTCAGAGTGTAGCGGCGAGAGGCGTGAACTCCCAATTCTCCGCTCTTTGCTGCCAGTGATTGGTCGTTTGGATTCGGGGAAAAAGGTTAAAAACCGCGGTCCGATTACATCTCTCCCATCTGCGGCTGTGTTGCTCAGGCAGCCCTCAAAGTACTGCCACAAATAAGACAAACTGAACCCACAAAACAAGGATTGAGCAAGAGTAAGGACTAGCGTTGACGACGGCGCAGAGATACGACTATTCGTGCTTGATGGATGTCCGTGTTGCGTCTGCAAAATTGAAGGCGCGATGGCACGAGACGTAACTCACTATACTGCCAATACGATGAAATGTCACTCTCAGATTCAGAAGTAGAGTCAGTTTATTATATATATATATTTTCATATTTATTTATTCTAATATATTTCAGTGCTGTTTCATTAGTACAACACTTAAATATTATTAAATAAGGTCAGACAATTCAGACATTGGAAGTACTTCGATGTATATCAATGGATTTGGGTCACACATCTAAAGTACTCCGGTACATACCAAAATGCCTCGATGTCTGACCCGAACTTCTGCAGCTCGTCCTCAACTTTTCGGATGCGTGATCAGAAGGCAATCTATGAATTCAAATTATCCAGGGTGATCAATAATCACAATTGTTGAGAACTGTCGTTGATAAAGCAGGTATTTGACTTGGTTTTTGCATAAACTCACTCATTTTTGCAGAAGAATCATTTTCGTTTAATAGTGGAGTCTAAAGATTGACAGTGACATTTTTCGTTTTCAAAGGTTACCTACCCTTTTGGGCCCTAAGAGCTACTTAATGCGAATTGTCCATACTCTCCCTATATAGTTACTCTAGTTCTAGCCGAAAAAGGTCGGGAAGAGCATACCTTCGTTCCACTCACCTTGTTCTAAGGTAGCTTATACCTGTAAATTGTCTCTGGGATTATCTCTCTCCGACACGTTGCGAAGGACGTTAGACTGGGACGATGATCAATGAAATCGGTAACTACCACCTTGGCGATGAAGCAAGGGCATTGGGTGGTCACCGCGTTGGAATGGCGCCGGAGGGAGGACGCGAGGATGCATTGGAGCCGCGGGCGACGCGGACGCCGCGCCGACGGACGTCCGATCAAAGAAACATGAGACGTGTCATTCATACCGCTCATTATGCATATCAAACCCTCTTTGCACGAATCACCGGCGACCACTTATCAAACTTATCGCTCCCAATATCGAGGTTCTCACACGTGGGCCTGGGCCCCCGCACGGACGGCTACGAATCCATGCCGTGTAGATGTAACACCGCTGCGAAACAAAAAGTAATCCTAGAGTACCTTTATAGACAGAGTATGGCCATTTCTGTTCCGGTTTTTCATTGGTCGCGTGAAAATAGGCTGACACGATGTTCTTACGGCCGTAAATAAACAAACAAGATAGCTGTTATCAGCAAGCAAGATTGAGGTTATGCACATCTTACATCCTCCTGTGATGAAGGTGAAAGGCGATTTAACAATGTTTTCGTGTGTTTTTCGTGTGTTATTCGTAGATATGCTAGTTTAAATTGTTACTGCCGTATAATCGAAATTTTTGTCAAATTTTAGCTTCTTATCGATGTTACGGTGAGCCGCCATCTTGTTTGTTTATTTACGGCCGTAAGAGCATCTTGCAGCCTAAAAACTCGTTGACCAATCAAAAAGCGGAACAGTTTTCATGTAGTAAAAATATACGAATGGCCATACTCTGTCTATAAAGGTACTCTAAGTAAACCGGGAAAGTGCGTCGTTCGGGTGATCAGTGGAAATGTCCTATTATAAAAGTCCAAGTGGACGTATTTTTATCAAACGGAACTATGTGCATCATAACGTGAGCCCTCCCATGTTCACTGGAAAAAAAACACATCGGATCTAGAGTCCAGACTCGTAAAAACATCGAAAAGGAAAAATACTCTTGATTCAATCAGATTTAAGCTTAATTCAAGAACCAAGCCTCTTAATTTGAGCGGATTTCCTTTTGATTTAAGCTTAAATCTGATTGAATCAAGAGTCCTTTTTCTTGTCAATTTTTTCAAGAGTCTGGACTCTAGATCCAATGTGTTTTTTTTCTAGTGTTATGCACATATTCTTATGGGCCCCAGGGCTCATGTGTTAATGCACACAGTTCCGTTTGGCAGAAATACGTCCAATTCAAGAAATGTCCAACGAGGAATGTCCATTGCAACAATGTCGGCTCTAAAATGTCCAATGCACTTTTTCTATTGTAAGTAAATGTCCATAAAAAGGAATGTCCAATAGTAGATTTTTTCCATGAATCTAAAAACCCCAGGGTGTTAAATGTCTCGAAGGAGGTGGTTAAAATCAGAAATGACGGAGAAGGCAGAAAGCAGGAATGAAATTGTACGTTTTGACGAAGCTGCTCTTGGACGAAGCACATAGTAGGCTTTTCGGGCGTACTTACCTAGTCGATGATTGTGCACTACTTTCAGGGCATTTATGTACATAATGGACAAATTTTAAATTTGGCATTTATTTACCATGGACACCTTGTAAATTAGATATTTTAAAGTGGACATTTTTGTAATCGGCATTTTTTGTTGGATATTTTGTACATTGGACATTTTAAAAAGGACATTTCCACCTGTCACCGTCGTTCGATACCCGCACAGTGCCCAAGTGGATTTTCTCAACGGAAAAATCGCGATATTTTGAAATATAGTGGGAGTTTTCTAGGATATTCTGGCTATAAAATCGCTAGGATTATCAATGTCTGACAATGAGTGAATATCCTCGATCTAGTTCCATCTTATCTCTGTGAGATCGCGTTCGATTAAATCGAAATTCCATCTCAATTTATCACGGTTTTTTGTTCGATAATAGCGGAATAAATCACTCCAAGTATTCTGAAGATTCTTTCTTGGGGGAAGGGGGGAGGGGGGAATAGCACCTTTTTAGTAAAAACAGGAACAGGCAGCGGACTCACAATAATTCAATGAACTGCACTGATTGTTGAAATTGATAGACAAACCTATGGGCAAAGAAGACATAGGGAGCGTGGAGTAATCCTATTGGTTGAAATGGTTGGTTACTAAAGACTAAGGGAGAAAATGATGAACTAACTCTCTCGTAGGTTGCCGTCAGTTAGTCTATTACCTACCTTTTTTGTCCATTGCAACTACCCGCGTCCACCAATAGGAGCCCACCATATCATCTTTGTCGTCTTTGTTTATAGCTTTGTCACTTACGAGTCGCAACCGACGAACGTAACGTAAGTAGCTTAACGTAAGTAACGTTACGTAAGTAAGTTAGGTTAGTAGGACTATCTCTTCATCCTGAGACATCTTGGAGTAACCTAAGATTATGGTTGATTAAACCAAACTTTTAGGTAAGTCCAACTGAAAATTAGATCGATTCAATCAAACATTATTTTAATAAACCAAAGCGTTTCAGTTCATCAAACCGTAAGAAAATCAACCCGCAGTGATATAAAACACGGCAAATTCCAACTGTGCGGCGGGGTAGAATCGGCCCGTTCTGCGGTCTCTCGTGTAACAATTTGTCTATTCTAAGACCTATCATTCTCTTTTCCCGGCCGCAGGGTCTGTAACTGGTAATCAAAACTATACTGGACTTTCCTCCTGGCCTCGCGGCTTATCAATATAATTTTAATGCGCCGGTAACTGGTAATCAAAACTATCCGGGACTTGCCTCCTGCCCTCGTGGCTTATCGATATAATTTTAATGCGTCGGGTCGGGTCGATACGGGTTTCCACTCATCCTTGCGCCTTCGTATAATTTCCCCATGTTAATTTGTCGCTATTAAAGTATTCACGATAAGCCGATGAAAGTTGGCTTAATGAATGGTTGCTCCGAGCGCTACGATATTGACTTGGTGAATTATACATTTTCAAACAGGACGGGGAACTCGATATGAATTTCAGAGGATCCCAGGAAAACGGAACAACAGGCCGGCCTCGGTTGATATCTTTCGATATTCCATAAACTTCATCCGAACTGCTGTATAGCAATTATCAGATACCTCGATTTGCATATAAATTGTATTGATCGTGAACACGAGAAGACGTGAGATCCGATGTGCAGATTTAAATGCAGGGATTTTGTGTCCGACGTTAACTAGGTTTCAACAGCGAAGGGTGTAAATACTCGAAAATAACAATAATGAGAATTGTTTTTAAAAAATTTATTCAGTTTCGTGGTTTATACTCCAGTTCTGGAACCCACAGCCGAAGTGTTCAAAGTTACGCTGTTTATTGTCTGAAGGCATCATCAGGAAAGACGCATTACTTTATGCTTTTCAAGTTTGTAGGGATTTAGACTGAATGAAATCTGCTAGAACCGATTAGAGACAAGAGACCCTCCATACTGGCCTCCTAGCGACATGTGGAAGCTTTTACTTTCGGGGTTTCAAAAATTCCTTATCGACAATTATTAGGGAGCAACAGTCACCACCCTAATTTCGGCTGTTGACCTACCTACATGGTCGATGATGAGCGTCGGGTGACGTCATGAGCCAAACAAGTTTCCCAAACGTCGGCCATTTTCGGCTTGTTTGTAAAATGAAACTGCCAACACGTTGTTAAACACCAACCATGTAGGTAAGTTAACAGTAGAATGCTGAAGTCCCGAAAGTAAAAGCTTCCACAATGGCCAAGAGACTAAAGAAGCGTCTCTTGTCTCTGGAACCGGTTCACTCATCAGCTCCTTGAAAATCAGTACGCTACTAGGGATCTGAACCCGGGACCTGTTGACCTAAAGTCAGACACGCTGATCACTTACCAGCTAAATCAATGAGAAGTTTATCGTAAAGCGTTGAGAATGCTATCATTTCAATTTCCGCAACGCAATTTGTGTGATTATTTCGACACAAGGTAGTTATCTCTGCCTAACCATTAAAATGAAGGAGACTTTGCTGTGCATCATGGAGAGTGTGAATCTTGTAGCGGCCTCAATTTGCCGGTCCTCAGAGATTGGATGCGGCTGCTTCTCTGGAAGCCTCTTGTTGCCCATCGATGGTTTTAGAGTCTTGATTCTGGATGAAATAACTTTCTGAGCATACAAAATGACGAATAAAATGGAAGAGGATGATTATACATCCAGCAAAAACATAATAATATAAGAAAAATTTTGCGTGTAAAATAATTCAAGAGATAGCTGAAAAGTTTGAAAGTTGCATACGATTGAATTGAGTATAAACGGCTAAACTTGCAGCTCACGAACCTCAATCGTAGTATTTTCTAAGCCGTCGTAGTTTCGTAGTTCTACTGAGCCGATTTCCATGATTTTTTCGGTAATCGACAGGTAATATGTCCTAAATGAGCCCGCTTTAATCAGATTTTGGGAATAAGACCTATGTTTTTTAATATGAGAGAAGACCAGGAAGCTTAAAAAGGGGGGCAACATTTGAAATTCCCGCCGGTAAAAAATGGCGGGGATTCCAAATTTAGTGGAAAATTGAACTAAGCGGGAAATGCAGAATCTTGGTCTGTTAGTAGGGTATAAGGTAGGTGAATAGAAGGTGCTCCTTTGGCACAGACTATTCAAAAGCGATGGAATGCTTTGTTCCGTTTCGTTTCAGTCTTTGCGAGAAGTTTGAAATAAATGCAGATTTTTTTATTTGATTCTTATTGGTTCCATCGCTCCCGGCCAGAGGGAGATTGGACAAATGAGAGTCGCGTATGAAAATCTCTTTATTTTTTTATCGTTCTTTCGTCAAAGCGGGCGTAATAGAGCGCGAAGCGTCCTTTGGGGGTTGGGCTGGGTAGCGGCTAGGGAAATTAGCCCCCTAGTGTTCTTATACGTTCCCAAGGATACCTGTGGAATGGCCAACGTGATCATCGCATATAAAAGTGCAAGAGAGAAATTATTAATCGAGGAGATCAGGTAATACAAAGTTTCAAAATTTAACAATGCTTCCTGATGAGAGAGAACACCACTTATATAGAAAAAGGACAGAGAGTTGCAAGGGAGGCAAAGAGGCTCAATAGTCATAAAGTTCGAATATGAGACGAGAGTTACAAACGGATACCACTGGCGGCCTCTCACTACTCCTGACTAAATAGCTTAAATGGCTTAAATAGCCCCTGTCACGAAACAATGAATTTTTCATGACCCGCGTCCCTGGGTCGACCAGCGGCCCATCGATAAATATTTGCGTTGTGCGTTCGATTCAGCTCAGCATTGATAGTTTTTTGACGACTTGAGACACCCCAGCCTGGCACTAGCGGTGGCGAAGCGTGAATGATATATTATCGATATTTCCCCATTTGAAGCTATGGTGAAGAATCGATTACTTAGGTATGCCCTATTTATCGATCCTTTTCCATAGGTTTAATTTGGAAATTAATCGATGTATCGCAAAGCACGCCACCCTCCTGCTATGACCACGAGAGCCCGTCACGAGAGGAAAATGTCATGAAAATTACACATTTGACCCATTATAACATGCTCGATGCCCCAAAAAGACCACCCACCCATCATTGTTCGCGGCGGAGCAAAGTGTATGTGGTCACATGGTATGACATGGTGTACGTAGATCCATCGGAAAGGGACGTAAGAACACGGAGGCGAAACGGTAAAGCTATTTTTGTGGAGCTGGATTAAATAATTGAATTTGGATTCAAGAATGAATTCTCTTTGGTGTCTTTAAGAATAGGTTGCGAACTGTTTTTCGCGCCTATTATGGAGATGCTTATACATATATTGATGGTCAACGTGCGAAACCACACGTTTATCCGTTGACAACGTTGCAGACTTCTTGTCATTCTTTGTTTGTTTGTTTGTTTTTTTCTTTATATAGACACTAAGTTCAGCAGGACACTTTCTTCATCCTATGAAATCTCAGAGTAACCTAAGGTTTCGGTCGATTTAATCAAAAATGGAGATGTTGCACGTGTGAGGATTTTGCGATTTGACTGTTGATTCTTATATATAAGTTCGCGAGAAACTACTAGTTGCTACTGGTTTTCTCTGACATCAACTCCCAAGCTCAAAAAAAGCTCTCAAGTTGAGGCCAAAATGGAGGGGATATCCCACCCTACCCTGAGAGTCCACCTCTACATCAGGACAAACTCTCCATGCAAAGATAGGGAGCAAATACATTGACAGGGCTGCCACTTTATTTGGGGACTCCAAAACTGAAAACATGGCAACCCTGCTAATGTATTTGCTCCCTATCTTTGCACGGTGAGTTTGTCTTGATGTAGACGTGGACTCTCAGGGTAGGGTGGGATATCTCCTCCATTTTGGCCTCAACTTGAGAGCTTTTTTGGAGCTTGGGAGTTGATTTCAGTGAAAACCAGTAGCACCATCGTGTTTCTCGCGAACTTTTACGTAAGAATCAACAGTCAAATCGCAAATTCCTCACACATGCAACGTCTCCATTTGGTTGAGTGACCAGGTCCTTTCGGTTGATCTGACCAAGAAAAATAACCTTATAATCTAGGACATTTTGAACTGTGTTTTTACTTTTGGCCGTTCGTTATTGTTCCCAGATCAACGGGGAGAGGAATCCGACAGAGGTTTACGCAGATTTCCGATCGGCCGTTTTGAAGATAATCGGAAAGCAGTCGACGACACAGACTGGAAGCATGAAGACCGCCGGTGAAGGAGCCTCTAATCAGCCGCTCAAGACCAGCATCTCCGTTTACAACTCTCCGACGAAAGAGACTAAACAGAAAACTAGTAACAGGATACCGCCTGTCATTTGGATCGTCGGTAAGACATTTCGTCTCCTCTCTCAAGTGAAAGTGTATCTCAATGGGTTAGTTGCGCTCACTGGTAAAAAAAAAAAACCTCTTGGACCAATGCCGCATTGCATTGACTTAAGAGTCTTGAACTCTTGTTTCAAGCGGATTTTGCATTGAAACAAGAGTCCAGACTCTTAAATCCGGCGACAAGAAATGGCACTCTTGAACCAGGAGGTTTTTTTTCCAGTGTGGTCATAAAATCGTGTTTTGATGATTGATTCTCGTAGATCAGTTAATAATATTGAAATCTGTCCAAACAACAATTCTCTGCGTTCACTATAATCCGAGATATCCCGCTTTGAAAAATTCGGTTTGTGACAGGGCCGGATTTAGGGAATGGCCACATGGGCCGCGGCCTATGGCGGAAAATCTAGGGGGCGGCAAATTTTGCAATTTTTTTAATGTAGGTATCAAAAAAAGAGAGAAAAAAATCGGATTCAGAAAATAAATTACAAACGAGAAAAGGCAACAAAATCTCTCATTTCCTGAGATTAAAGGTATAGTGATTTCTAATTTTGTCGTCTTTCGGTGGTACAAGAGACAACACCTTTAAGTAGTCGAGTTAAGAGAGAAACCAAACACGCAATTTAACCTCGAACGGAGCCGCGCGACGCAGCACGGTGGTCGGCATGAAACGCATAGCGCCTACAAGACTGCATGAATACTTCACGCATTGCGTCAAACACAGTGCGATCAGCAGCGGTCGGCGTGAAGCGCATAGCGCCTACAAGACTGCACGAATACTTCACGCGTTGCGTCAAACACAGTGCGGTCATCAGCGGTCGGCGTGAAGCGCATAGCGCCTACAAGACTGCATGAATACTTCACGCATTGCGTCAAACACACTGCGTTCAGAAGCGGTCGGTGTGAAACGCACACCGCCTATTTGACTGTAGGAATGCTTCACGCATTGCGTCAAACACGGTGTGGTCAGTTTGTTCTTTCATAATTTTTTCGTTCATTTCTTATAAATGATAGGCCTTGTTCACATAGAGAGAGGTTCACGGAACTTAACTTTCGCGCAAAGTTCCGTGAATTTTTGCTAATAATGTTGACAAGACTTCGCAAAAAATGTGCCCAACACGAGTAAACGCGTCTTATGCACCTCTCCCCGCTGCACGTTCACCTGATGGTTTTTATTGATGTTTCAAAACGAATGAGAAGGGGGCGGAAAAATACAGGCGGCCCATGGGCGGCAAGTAGGTGAATCCGGCCCTGATTTGTGACATCATCCACCGCAGTAGTGACACCCTTGCTTTCTTCCACCTTGCTTTCATCTGAGTTTCACAATGAGTTCCCAGTGCAAATGTGTGTATCATCGGTTGATGAATCTATAGTCCCTTCATACTGATAGTAAAGACAATGCGAATACATTTCGGATTGGTTCCCGTATTTTACGGTTTCACAGTGTCACAAACGGGAATAAAGACTACATTTTCACCAATGGACCACTGGACAAGGTACGAATTTAAGCATTCTGATACATGTTACTTAATCAGAATTTCACGTAGAACACGATTCGCGCAACGAAAATACTGAAACCAATTCCTAACGGAGATATTAACATTTTTATTTCACATTGGTTACAAGGACTTTGAACTGCCCGCTCACAAGAAACGCAAAGCTTTACGTGAGTCAAATCGCGCACTACAACGGTTTCAGCAAGCTTCTCAATCGAGCAATGTTCATTTCATACCATGTGTTTTTAAACTATAAGTAATTTGCTGTAGCTGAGCCAAAGCGTCAAGATTGATGAGGTTGCCAGTTTTTTTTTATCACAGAGACGTTCATGATAACGTTTAGCGCGCGATGTGAATCACGTAGAGCATTGAGTTTTCATGAGCAGGTGATTTCAATTCAAGCACCAAGAATCATTAAATATCTTCGGATGGAGTTAATTTCGGTAGTTTTCGTTGTACGCATCGTGTTTTATGTGAAATTTTGGTGAAGAAACATAAATCAGAATGCTGAAATTCGAACCTTGTCTGATGGTCCATTGCAAAGACTATAAACTGGAATGGACCGGGGAATTGGAGATATGGTGCGGGACAAATGAAATGAGAGCATGAGAGAGGGAACGGAGACAGTAATTCGGGAATGAGTTGATTAAAGGTCACTAAAAACGTCCCATTTGTGTGATCTTCATTCCCGTGTGGGACATCTGTAAGCTGCGTTGTCTCACTCTCTCTGTAAAGGGACTCTGGATGAATCCAAAGTGGAAGAGATCATGGAATTCATAACCGCGGTGGATGACATTGTAAACCGAATTTTTCGGAGCGCGATATCTCGGTTCATATTGAAAGTGAAAGTTGCTATTTTGACAGAGCTTTTTATTTTTAGCTCGTCTACAAAAATCAAGCGTCAAATCACGATTCTGTGACCAGCACAATTGACCCATTTCCACGTAAGCCCTGTTCTCTGTATGAATATGTGCTTCCCGGGTCTCATGTGGAAATAAAGATACGCCCTCACCTCAGAGGAGCGACGATTTTCCAGTAGCTATTAGACTCTCATTATGGGCTTGTTAGGCTCATTAGGTTTAAGTTAAAGGTAAAAAGAACCAAGTTTTTTAGAGGACATGGGATTTGCTTGCTATATACACAAGTTGAGAAACAAATGCGTCTAGAAAACAGCTTGGAGCGTGGGACCCAAAGTTTAAGTCGCGTGGATATTCAAAGTTTTCGGATGATGCACCCGAAAACTTGAGGTTCAGCTGGCAAAGTTCGGGTCAGATATCTGAAGTACAGGTATCGGTATTTCGGTTGACTTTCGAATAGTTACAACCAAAATACCGAAGTCCTTCCGCTAAGTCTCCCGAAATTCGGCAGCCAGACCTCAAGTTTTCGGATGCAAAACTTCGGGGATCCTTAGGACGTACGTAAACATCATGTCTCACGCACGAAGTTTTATTCTCAAAGTGGGATTTTTTTTTTCTCACAAAGAATAGCTTTTGTTTGAAAATTTTAATAAGTTGGGCTCCTTGGATGTCGGGTGGGGCAGCCCCAAGGGGGTTGGGTTCCTTGCATGCCAAGTAAGGCAACCCCGGGGGGTTAAGCTTCTTGGGTGCCAGGGAGGTCGACCCGAGAGTTGAGATCCCTGGTTGTCACGTGGGGCAACCCCCGGTGGGTTTGGCTCCTTGGATACAAGGTGGGGCAGCCCCTGGGGGTTGGGCTTCTCAGATGCCGGGGGGGAGGGCAGCCCCCGGGGGGTTGGGTTCCTTAGATACCAGATGAGGCAGCCCCTGGGGGTTGGGTTCCTCGGATGTCAGGTGGGGCAGCCCCCGGGGGGTTGGGCTCCTTAGATACCAGATGAGGCAGCCCCTGGGGGTTGGGTTCCTCGGATGTCAGGTGGGACAGCCCCCGGGGAGTTGGGTTCCTTGGATACCAGATGGGGCAGCCCCTGGAGGTTGGACTTCTTAGATGCCACGGTCGTAGCCCGGGGGGTGGGCTCTTTGGATGTCGGGTGGGGCAGCCTCCGGGGGTTGAGCTTCTTGGATGTTGATACCGCATTCGTGTACAGTTTCGATATCGGTATCGAATGCGATGTTTTCTCTCTAAAAAAACCACGCCTCCATTACGTTGATTTTGTTTGTAAAAATTGGTGAGTGCTTTAGTCTCCTGGCAACAGAATTGCGATCTCAAAATTCGAGAAAAATGATTAGTAGCTGAAAAAATAGAGCCAATCGATGCGATATATCGCACGTCGTTCTGACACAAAATCTGGCGTCCATCGAATCACCTTAAAACCTAAATAAACTTAAAAACTGTATAGATATATTACATTAAAAAAGGAAAAAATTATGAAGTAGTGGTCTTTATAAATAGTTTATACGTCTCTAAATTATTGCGAAAATCGCCTTGAAGTGTCAAACCGGCAAAAATTTGATGAGTTGGCATGCCTAAGGACTTTGACTAAATATTTGGCATAGCGCCTACCTGGGGCTAACGCTTTGAAAATATGAAACACTTAACATAATCCAGTTGTGGCCGAAAAACTAAAAAAGCCCTCGACGCTTCTCCTCCATTCACTGAAACTTTATGTTAAGAACTCATAATTACATTTTCTCTAAGAAACTAATTCGAGGCTGAAAACATCGATAAACCTAGTTTTATAAATTAAAATATAAAAACATTGATATTATTATTAATCTATACAAGTGAAATTATTCAGAAGAAAAATACTTTCTTTCGAAGAATTCATTGAATGCGGATGGACTAAATTCGTCAGTGTTAGAGCGAGTTATTGGAATGCCCTAATCCTGGCGAGAAACCCAGTGAGCCACTGGCCCACTGAGCGCGAATTTAAACTGTCATTGGTGGTGGTATCACGATCAATTGAAGGCACTTTGATTGTGCTAGCCATCCATCCAGAACTTGTGGCTATTTTTTTGTATCTAAGTTGGGTGAATGAGGTGTAGCGCGGAGAGGAATCTCTCTGAAGTTGTGCAGAAACAAATCTAAGTTTCTTAAAATATCTGAACCACGCGCATTTTTGTTTTGTTTCATTAGTTGTTATTAATTTTGAGTACATAATGAATCACGAATCATCATGAATTATCATCTTTATTTCCTCTCTTTTATTTTTAGGCGGACCTGGAAGCAATAAATCTACCCTGTGCCAAAAAGCAATTCGAAAAGCTCATGGATGGATTCATATTAGTGTAGGACAGTTGTTGCGTTCATTGTTAGAAACAACGAATGCCTCTCAAGTGCCTGATAACCAGCTGAAAAATATCATAGCGCGCGGAGATTTAGCGCCAACGGTGAGTTAACATCTTCCAACATGAGAAAAAACGTTAAATATGCGAGTAATATATTATGCAGCACAAGCGTTACGAATTCCACGAATGGCCAAGTTGATTTCTGAGATAGTAATCAAAATAGTCGATGTCATGGTGATAGATTCTGACATCGCTAGATATAAATTCCTCAACTTCTTTTATACCGTACTCTGTCATGGAAGATTAGCAACGTTTAAAACGGATTTTTTTGTAGTACTCGCCTATATTTTCTACAGAAAAAGAGGCTTAAGATTTCAATCAAACATCGCACTGCAGGCCAATTATTGAAATTTTCGATCAGCGTCACCAGACATATTGATTTGCGATGTAATAGTGGTTAAGATAGGGCTTTGTCTTGTCTCGTCGATCGACATATACATTCAAAACTCGACCCCTGACAGTGTGTTAAATCAGTGTGAACACCATTGATACATTTATAATAATTTCCTGTAATCTAAATGAATTTTTCTGTCTTTTGCAGGAGCAAGTGATGCATCTAGTAGAAAGAGAAATTAAAAATAACTCATTTGCGAAAGGTATCGTATTAGATGGATTCCCTCGAGATCTAAAGCAGTTAGAACAGTTCCAAATCAAGGTAAGATGTTTAAATTTGCGAAAAGCAAGCCTAACATTGTATCAACTCCACTAAATTCTTGCCATTTGCAGAATGGATGTCAATCTTAAACGATCAATAAAATGATTTCTTTGTGTTTGAAAGACGAGCCACTAGCAATGTATGAAAAGATTGCAACTCATTTCGCTTTATTTTCAAATGAATTTCAATTTACGGAGCCCCTTCAATTACTAGATAGGCAACATACACGGCACACCTACATAGTATCCACAATTTTCAGCCCTCGATCCACGATTAAAATTCTCATCAGAATCTGATCGAAACGTGAAAGTCATCAGTCCTAAAAACGTTGTTTCGGGTCAAGTTCAGATAAAAAGTTGGCAAAAATGTTCCATGCGGTAAAATATGATGAATACTCAGGTGTATACATGTGATACATACAACTCGGTGGCCCTACAAGTTTCGACCGTAACATGTTGCATGGTTATCATCTGTCATCAAATGGTCTATTTTGATCAAAATTCGTTCATAACTCGATCTTCGATCAAAGCCTCTACCACGTAATCGTAACTTCATCGATAGACTTGTGCTACTTGCGTAGGGAATACTAGAATGACGGGTTTTTCTTTTAGTTTTTATCGTATCATCAATTTTTTTCTGATTCGATATAGTTCAAGCAAAAGCCGACTTTGATATTGTTGGATTGCTCAAAACTTCAGCTGGCGCGAGGACGCTTAGACGACACTGTGGCAGCTTTTCGGAAACGACTCGAGCTTTTTCGAGAACACACTCTACCATTGCTCAAACATTTGGATGATGACCATAGAATGAATATTGTAAGTCTTCGATCATTTATTATTAGCTTGTCACTGACCCGAGCTGTCTCGGATTCTCGTTTCATACCGATCTCAAGATGATTTACTTAAGGCTGTATTCATTCATAATCGTTTCTCTATCTTTAGAAGCCTATAAACCTTTGTTAACTTTCCACTAAAGGAGAGAGTTTTTAAGTTTTAGGGAGAAATTTCAAGACGATCCTTTAACTGTCTTGTCTTGAAATCTCCTAAAGTATTCTTTACATTCACTAAAATCCCTATTTTAAAATAATTTCCAAGGAGATTTCAAGCAGTGGCGTTTTCGGACCCAAAGTATTTCGAAGATTCCTGAAAATTGTTCTTTTGAAAATTTAGGGAAAACCCCCGTTTCGTGATCGGACGCTGCCGAATTTCCCCAGATAAAATCTGAATTTTTGAGGAACGTTATAACAAAATTCCTTTAAGTTATTCCAGCTAATTTAAATCAAATGTATCTGGTTGTATGCAAAAGAGACATAGCGGTTGTGAAAAGACGTTTTAGAGGTAAAATGGCACCGATTAGGAGTCCTAAGTCATTACAAATACTATATGGTTTTATCGCAATAAGGGCATGACCCTGATACTTAACTTAATTCAATTCTAAAAACATTTTCGTCTGAAAGACCCGGGTCGGTTAGTTGTTAGGTTTGCAAAAAATTCACATTATACAACAAATGCAGCTTTTGCAGACATAAAATTTTTGGTCATGAAACGGTGCGATTTTTTCGTCGTCATTAACTCGCGTCCTTTCTGTTGCTCTATTTCCATATTGCGTTAATTTCCGTTTGTTTGCGAGTTCGCGCCTTCAATTTTGCAGACGCAACACGGACATCCACCAAGCACGAACGGAGATGTTGCATGTGTGAGGAATTTGCGATTTGACTGTTGATTTTAGTGCAAAAGTTTGCGAGAAACACGATAGTGCTACTGGTTTTCTCTGAAATCAACTCCTAAGCTCCAAAAAAAGCTCTCAAGTTGATGCCAAAATGGAGGGGATATCCCACGCTATCCTGAGAGTCCTCGTCTGCATCAAGACACACTCTCCATGTAAAGATAGGGAGCAAGTACATTAGCAGTGATGCCGTGTTTTTAGTTTATTTTGCGTCCCCAAATAAAGTGGCAGCCCTGTAAATGTATTTGCTCCCTATCTTTGCATTGAGAGTTTGCCTTGATGTAGAGGTGGACTCTTAGGGTAGCGTGGGATATCTCCTGCATTTTAGCCTCAACTTGAGAGCATTCTTTTGAGCTTGGGAGATGATTTCAGAGAAAACCAGTGGCACCATCGTGTTTCTCGCGAACTTTCACACAAGAATCAACAGTCAAATCGCAAATTCCTCACACATGCAACATCTCCATAGTTGTATCACTGCGCCGGCGTCAACGCTCATCCTTTCCCTTGCTCTGTTCCCATGTTGCGCTGTTTTCAAATTCACGCCTCGCGCCATCGCGCCTTCAATTTTGCAGACGCAACACGGAGATCCACCAAGCACGAATAGTTGTATCACTGCGCCGGCGTCAACGCTCATCCTTTCCCTTTCTCTGTTCCCATGTTGTGCCCCATGTTAATTACGACGATCTTATTATTCCGCAGGTCGATGGCGATACAGACTTATCTGAGGTCCAGGACATTTTCTCAGAGATCCTCCTGAAGAGGATAAACGAAATCCAGTCTCAAGGCGAGAGAGGGGGAGCCGCCTCACCGGTGGCGAGAGGCGGGAGGACCCAAACGGTGGTCGACGTCCACGGCGATGCCTTCGGGGAACCCATCTCACCCCCGCGGTCCCCCCCGAAATTTCAAATGAACGGCTACGGCCCCCCTAGGGAGGCGAGGACTGGCCGAGATGGGCCGGGGCTCGCCAAGCAAACCAGTCTCTTCCCGGATTCCAGATAGCGATACTGAAAAGGCGATTAGCGTCTTTCCGATTTGACACGCGATCTCGGAGTCATAGAACCAGAAGCTCAAAATCCGTCCGACTCCTAATGAATTGACTACATTTTGCAGTTGGGAACCACAATTTCCGGCCATAGAGTACATAGAGTCGTAATGTAAGTGGGAGAGCTGGCGCCACTTTTGAGCATTTTCCATGTCCCGAATTCCGAGACTCCTGTGTGACGCCGGGTCACTTTTTCGATGCATAATCGATTGTTTGCGATACACGGGTACCCGGCCATCCGATGACAACAACAACAACAACAACAACAACAACAACAAAGGAGATAGGAATTACCACGTATTACACACCGCCATTTTGGATCGAAAATGTATCGAAAAAGCGACCCGAACTCGGCGCACACCGGGCTCGGAATTTGTCGAGCAGAACATGGCGCCAGCTCTCCCACTTACATTACGACTCTAGGTACTCTATGTTTCCGGCTCACAATCAGCCTAGCAATAACGTACGTACCATATCGACGGTGAAAGTCGGCAATCACATAACTCGATTTGCGACGTCGCAGACTTCCTGTCATACTTTATTCTTTAAACGGAAAACTACTCAACGGTAATTCCTTAAAACTGCCGTGATTTTTCTTCTATGTGCGAGGAAAATTCTGCAAAAACTACAAGGAATCATGTCCATTTGTTCTCCTTTAAAAAAATAACATAGTTGGGGAGATTTTCAGACACCGCAAACGAGTTATGTGATTGCCGACTTGCACCGTCGATATGCAGTTTCCCTAATAGTTCAGGCAAATAAGGATTAGAGCCTGCAGAAATCCCGGGTAGCAATGTCCTCAGTGATTCCTATGTAATTTTTGACGCTGAATCCGAATTTTAACTTTGAACCAAAAAATTCGGACTGGAAAGTTGCCAAATTTGGCAAAAATTGCCTAAAATTTGCTTTTGTGGCGGATTATGGCTTAAGACTCGCGGAAAGTTTATCTGACGACAAAATCAGTTATTTTCCACATGTATGCCCATAAGTGTTTTTATGGATGAGCCAGAAATTGATGTTCCTAATTGGAAATTTTAGTCCAAATTAAGTTAACCGTGTGGGCGGGACCGGGTAGTGGCACGGAAAGAAATGTCAAATTTTTCCTCTAAGGAGGAGGGATTCGAGAATAAATGATTCCTGAAAATCACTAAAAATGAAGGTTTGTCAGGTACAGGCCCCCACTTCTCTCTTGGCCACGTCACTGCAGGGAAGGCTACCCCTGCCAGAGATCCAATCGGCTCCCTCCTAAATACCTATATGAGAGATTTACCTTTCATAAGTTCAAATTAAAAATCATGTAGGTACCTAATTTCCCAACGACATTCAGAACTTGTAGAAAACGAACTTGTTGAACTTGTCGTCAATTCATCAATTTTTTAATCAGGCGTACTTAATCAAAGTCAGCATAGGTACCATTTGGGAAATTCCCAATGAAATGGTACGTGGGTTCATTGATTTGCATAGTGGTCTACGACCATGGATTGCATAGGTATTATAGAATTGAAGTCATGTAATATAGTCTTAATTCGGGCAAAAACTTTTTCCATTCGGAATTCCAAGTCTAGTCTATAGTGGCCTTCATCATTACAAACGACTGACAACCGATAATGTTGAATGTTATTTAATTTCCAAAACTTAATTCGCAACGTCAAGAATTGCCGCAGTTTTCAAGTTATAAACCAAATGAAATTCTACGTAATTTGTAAATATTTTCTTGATGAAGTAGATATGAGTATTTTTTTATTGTTCATTTGTACTATAAATGTTATTTTATACTGTATATTTGTAACAATCTGTAACTTTGTATAAATGATACCACGCGTTTATTGAATAAATTAGTTGACTTCTGTTTTCTAAGCGCTTGTTTTTATTTATCAGAATTTTATTTATCTAAATACCAGTGAGAGAGTGAGACCTTGAATTTTCTTTAAAGGGTCTGGTGAAAGATATTTGGCTCGTTTTTTTTTCCAAGCATTGGGACTATTTTACCTACAGAAAATTACACCCATTCACGAAAATAATAAAACTTAGTTCGTCTTTCAATTATGTAATTATATAAAAGAAATTGTACGGTAAAATTTGGACATTTAGACTTTTCAGAAGCAATACACTACCTGAAAAATATATCAATAGGTAACGTTGTGGTGCAGGGACTGTCCTGGATAGATTCCAAAATTAACCCATTCCTTTTTTTTGAAATTCGCGTAATTCACTCCATTCTACTTTTTGACTGGATACCTACAGAATTATAAATGAAGGAAGTGCAAATACTTACACCAAAAAAAAAGTGAGGTTGATTTAACATTCTGAATGTAAAAAAAAGTGTGCGAGACAGGGCCGGATTAAGGGGGTGGCCACATGGGCCGTGGCCCATGGCGGCAAATTTTGCAATTTTTTTTAATGTAGGTATAAAAAAATCGGATTCAGAAAGAAAAAATTATCAAATGAGAAAAAGGGACAAAATTTCTCTTTCCTGATAGTATAGTAATTTCTAATTTTGTCGTTTTTCGGTGATACAAGAGACAGCATCTTTAATTAGTCGAGTTTAGAGAGGAACTAAACACGCAATTAGGCCTGGAGCTTAGCGCAGAGAGAAATGATGACGAGGACTTGAGATGAAAAGGACAAGCCCTCGGCGCGGCGCGGCGCGGCGGTCGGCATGTAACACATATTAGCGCCTACAAGACTGCATGAATACTTCACGCATTGCGCCAAACACAGTGCGATCAGCGCGGCGCGGCGCAGCGGCGGAAGTTGAAATTATTATACCACATACCACATTTATGTTTGTTCTTTCATAATTTTTTGGCTCATTTCTTATAAATGGAGAAGCAGAGTTCCGTGAAATTTTGCTAGTAGTGTTGACAGGGCTTTTGAAAAAAAATGTATTCAACACGAGTAGGTAAACACGTCTCGTGCACCCCTCCCCCTCCGGCACGTTCACTTGATGGTTTTTATTGATATTTCAAAACGAATGAGAAGGGGGCGGCAAAATACAGCAATGCCGAGATGTAAAAGTAACTGCTGTGACGGGTAATTTAGCATTTTATAAGTTCTCGCACACCTTTTTTACACCCAGAATGTTTCTCATAACTTTTTTTTCGGTGTATTCTCTACAAAACTGTACCGAAAGTCGCATGCTCCCTTTCAGAAGTTACTTTCGCATCACATTTGCAAGAGAAAAATAAAATACTTTCCGAGGAGGAACTATCGGAAGCCCCATTGCTGGAGACATCCCACCTCCCAGACCCCCTCCCCTCTCCGCGAGAGGAGGAACACATGTAGCACCCCTAAGTAGAAAGGTCTAGGACCGAATATAATGTCGGCTCCTGACTCATGATGAGAGGATACTTTTAATTAGCCCTACAGGTGGAGGGTTTAATAAATATGAAGAAAAAGGAAGCTATTATTAAGCTCACGCTTCTATCAACTCTGCGCGAGGGAGGGTGACGGGGGGTGAGGGTTTTGTTTACTCTTGCGCTTCCTTGACCTCCGTGAGTCAACACGGAGCAACACGCTTTCTACAGGGAATCTAATTCAATCAAAGTGCAACGATTACCAGCTCGTTTGCTCTTCGCCACCCACCCTCACCGAGAAGGTGACAGTGCATTTTGCAACCCAGCCATTTGCTACTCGGATAAAAAAGTAAAAAACTTGCTGCTGATTTAAAGAAAATTGGTTTAGCTCAATTTGCTAATTTAAATATATATGTATTTTGGTGGATAAAAATTTTGAGTACTTAAAGTATTTTTTAAAAAAAATCGAATGAAGATTTGTTTTGATGATTCAATTATTTCACCACGAGACACCAACACTATTACAATAACTTGTCAATTAATGCCGATTTCAAAGCGTAAATGAAATGAGCTTCGTACGACAGCAAGATATGCAATTTGCAATGCAAAGAAAGTTACAACTTATTTCAATTTTATTGCGACGAATGAATTGCAGAAAGTGGAATCCCGAATAAATAGGCAACATGCTCAACACCTAAATACCTCAATGCAGTAGTAATAATTTAACCATCATGTCATCCTAATCCATTGCAACCTCTGTGCTAGTTGCGTGGTGGTAATGACCGTTGAAACAATAAAAAAGGTAACGCCTTTTCGGTGTTTTTCAAAATTCTAAAAATATGTCCCGAAATAAGTAATTTCCTGGGTGATTTTCTTAAAAATGACCTTAAAAAGTTTTCTATTTCGTTAAATATATCATTTTTTTCCTATGAGAGTTTTTAAAAACCGCCTCTTTTAAGGGATCATTGCTCCCAAAATCATACATGTGCGCCCCGCAACCAATTCCAAAAAAAATCGCGAAATTCGACGGGTCGAAATTTTGCAACGAGCTCTCCCGAACGGGACCACCGGCTTTTCCAGAGATGCACCAGAGAACGAACGCGGACGAGGAGGGAGCCCCCCCCCACCACCACTCCGACGGGCGGGGGAGCGGGGGCTATTAGCGCGAATCAGTAGGTCGGGCGACGGACCGTCAAATCGTCGGAGGTAAAGTATGTCACGGGAAAATGAAGGTCGCGGCTCGTCGCGCTGGGAGGGGACGGAGACCGGGATAGCGGGGACGCCGGGCGAGGGGGGTCCGGGGGGGCGGGGGTGGTCGTCGAGCGGGAACGGCGGCCCCGGATTTGAAAACTCGGCGGCGCGCTTTCGTTCGGGGAACAGCTGATTTGTGTATATCGATCCGCCTTCTACCCTGGGCCTGGGGCTCGCATTCCTCTTCGCGCTTTTCGTCGTTGTTTCGCTCCTCTTCCGGCTGCACTCCTCCTGTCTCACGAGCCGCACTTACGCCCAGGTGAGTCATCTTTGCATTCTTAATTATATATATAATTATATATACAATTACTTGGATGGTTTTAAATGAGATGTGCAACCGTTACACATATAAATTTAGGTATTTATTTCGCCAATGTTTCGGAGGCCCATTGCCTCCTTCATCAGGGCATGATTCTTATTATTATATATATAATTTTATATATATATATATATAATTAAATATACTTATATAACGAGAGTGAGAATTGGCATAATGATACAAATAAATAACAATCTTTGAGATTTTATTGCCTACATAGTAAGCATTTCCATTTGGCTTACAGCTCTTAAATATTGTGTTTCGTATATAGTTAAATATATAATAGTTATATATACTATCCGATCGGATTTGTTTTGCCCAGATTCCTTTTCAGTCTCAGTTCCGCCTCCGAAATCACGCCCGCCCCTGCGTTCGGATTAAAATAATCACGCTCACCCTCCTACTCGTTCTCGCGAGTTCTCAAAACGTGAGTTATGATTTGTGCTTTGAGGTTGTTACGCGGGATTTTGGTTGAGGTTAAGTTGGATTTGTATCCCTTTCTCTATGGACGAGTGGTATGAATCAAAGCGTCGTTATGTTACATGGATTGAATTTGACAGAGAGAAATCAAGTCACATCGTTGAGTTGCTGAGAATGACAAATTTGGACAGGTAAATTCTGTTCATATCAGTTGATAGTCCCAGATGATATTAATTGAATCTCTGCTGATGCGAGTGTTGGTAGGTTCTCCTTACTTCTTTTTGGCCGATTGATGGGCGGAGATCCAAGTGATACACGAATAGATAATTAAGCAGACAAATAATTATAATAATTAGGACAGAGTTTGACTATGCAATGTCAGATACCTTATCAAAATCTATTCACCGCATCCAAAAAAAAAAAAAAAAATAAAAAATAAATAAAAATAAGATGCCATAGGTCACGTGCAGCCTACGTAACAAGGGACCAAAGCCTCCTAATTAGAATAAGTTTTTTTGGAAAATGATGAAAAAATTCTACTGATGACAGACATTGATAGGATAATTTAGGATCGCAATTTTGGAAATAAGGTTCGACGCCTTACACAAATCATATTCAAAATATTTTTCTCGACTTTGAAATTCTGACAGTTGAAAATATTCAGCTATTTAATTTTAAAACTATACTCTTTGCTCATTTTCCCCCTAAAATGTGACTTGGTTTCTCCCTGTTTATTTCAGTCCACATGTTTGCTCTCCTAACTTTGGCTAAAAAAACTATTATTACGACGGCAAGTTCATGCGTACTTGATACAGCTAAATTGGCTGTGTTTATGCTAATAACAAACTATATACTAATATATTGAATCAAAAGGAATTATGAAATTTATAAACGTAGTTCTTTTTTATTTATTTTGTGAAAAAAATCTCTACAACTACCTACTGAAAATATGCGATAGGAGTTAATATCAACGTAAAAGTTCTCTCGCACATATGTATGATCATGTGTTTGAAAAACAAGAAGAGAAGAAGCATGAGGGAGAGATAGAGAGAGTAAAATGGGCTAGAGCAGAAAACAGCTGTAAAATTATAGAGCTTTATTTATATAAAAAAAAAGAAAGAAAGAAAGAAGCAAAAAACCAACTGCTGACCCATGGCTGATCTCCAATCTTGAACTATTGGTGGACCGCGGCTACATATACCTCGCACCCACCTGAAAGCGTTCGAAATTCTCGCCCTCATAGAATAAAGGGCGATTAAAACTTCCGTTCCGTGATACAAAATTGTACGTCATGTCTAATGGACACTCTAGAGTATCTTAATATAATGTTGCACTCGACGAGTGTGGAAAAAATTCGATGTCTATTATTGGATTCAGTTCATCATCATAGGCAAAATTGTCGCAATTTTTAAATCAGGACTATAGTCATTTGATACAGCTTATCAGTTCGTTAAGAAAGCTATTAGCCTGAATTGAGAAAAAAAAGTAGAAGATCTATTATTTCTGGCCTCCAAAACTAAAAAATGGGTATTACATAATTTTAAATGAATAAGAGATGACCTAACAGCACGCAAAAAACGTATGGTCAGTCGGTTACTCAAACCCATCATGTTCTATTTCATTTATGCTATAATGAGCATCATAGCTTGCTTCCATTTCGCGCAAGTTATTCATAATGACCATAATTAAACGAATCTTAGTGATTGTCACCTCTGTCTTCCACCGTGCCGCGAAAAGCCATTGAAAAAACTTACTTCAGTGCAGTTTAGTTTCAGTCGCACCAGTGACTCTTTTGCTATTTCCTAACTTGACCGAATCACGGTCGTAAAGTGAATTTCGTGGCAGGGAGAGTTAAATTTTTCCCGCACTTATTAAAATGGAGAACTACATCATTACGGGAATTTTCGCAGTCGGCTTTTTTGTTTGCTACCATATAGCACAGTACATCAATAATTTCCTTTTCTCCAATAACAATCTTCACGATTTCCAAGTCACGATCTAAAGTCATCTCGTCCTTGAGGTACGCTCGTTCAATTTCATTTTCAGAATTTAAATTGAAATTAAAAAAAAAAAAAAAAAATTGCGTGACACGCTTGTCCAAGAAATTGGATTGAAATGTATATAGTTTCTCCGTCACTGCATCTTTAGTAGATCAGGTTGCGATGAATTGCAAATGCATGGTAAAATAATTGTTGCTACTGCGGCCGGATGTTCTGAGTGTTGCCTATTTACTGATTGAAGGGGCACTTCTTACAGGAACTTCGCGATAAAAATGAAACAAGTTAAGCTTTCTCCCACACTCTCTCTCTCTCTCTCCCTCCCCCCTCTCTCTCTTCATTTTTTAGTGCTCCAATTTCCTGATACATGAATCTCATCTTATATTGGACCTTTAAAATCGATATTTTCCTGATTAAATTTTGTAGAAATGTCGAAATTTTGCAAGTAAAAAAAAAAAATCAATTTTATCACATTTATTCGAAACTCTATTATAATATTTTTGTTGCATTGCACTACTTGGGCAGTGCTTACAGCTTGTTACCTCGCACAGCAGCAGCCCGATTGTTGAAATGTATGAGCGAACGACAAAAATCGAAAATCGATACATTACACAGCGCAGACAGTGCTATGTCTTTTCTAATCTTGCCGACAAAGCCAGTTGAAGTTCCAACGATCAGGCTGCAGGTCCCTCCTTCTCTGTCTATCGCAGTTAATACTTGTGTCTACAGCTTTCGGATGGTTTAATTGGGCCTCTTAATTTCGGTAGCGAGGCGTGTGAAATAAGCCTCGCCTCAGTGTCATCTTTGTGATAACATCATCGCATGATTCGGATACGTACGAATTGTACGACACTCATAGACAATAATCATTGAGTCCTCCACTGAAAGTCTCATTACATTGTAGTTCTGCTATTTAAGAGAGTTAATAATGCACGACTATTTGTCGTGTTGGTGCCGTTCATGGTTGAAAAGAAAATTTAAAAACGAGATCCAAAGCGTGGTATTCTCTACATATACGTTCATGTTGGTGCGATTACTAGTAGAAAAAATGTGCACCTCACCTACAACGTTCAAAAATCCTTGATCACATTTGATTTTCTTTTGAAGGACGATAAGAATAGCATAGAAACTCCTTGAAATTTTTTGTGAATATTTTTAGATGGGGTAGGAAAATTCATAGAAAATGTAAAAAAAAAACCTCTTGGTCAGTTTCCATTTAAAAACATAAAACTTGAGCGGAGATTTGCACCGTTGCAGTCAAAGGTACGCATTTTTTTACTTTAACTTTCGATGTGTTTTTCCAGTGACTGCATTCTTTCAGTTAAAAGAATTTGCCACTACTCTTTTTTGAGGAAGTGCGTATGGAGCCGTCTGAAAATTGCACATGTATAACGCTCCATTGCTCCATACTATAGAAGCATGACTATCACCTATCATCCCTTTCGTTTCGTAGCATCGCACGGGGTGGAACGGACGTGCTCAGCAGAATATTACGTCACGAGTTCTTTCACTTAATCGCACGTGATTTCAAACAAATTAACATCTATCATCGTAGACTATACATCTTGCAATTCGGAAGCACAATTCCTGGCTCAACTTTAAGAACACTGTGTGAAGTGGGAAACAAATGATACATACAACAGCTCGACAACAACAAATGTCTCGTGCGTTTGTTTCTACATTGATCGTGAGCCAGAAATTGTAGTTCCGAACTACGAAATTCTGTCTAATTAGAGAGCACACTTTCTGCGGATTAACATAGGAGTTTTACCTTTTCTTGTTTCAGTGGCGGATAACAGACGAAAACACCATGCCACCCACGGATTCTAGAGTACCTACGGACGTCCCAATTGTGTGGGTTTTGGGTAAGTAAGGTTTCCTGTGAGAATAAAACTAAGCCACAAGTAAATAAGAATAGTTATCACTCCATCGACTTAAAGACGTAACAATACTTAAAGATGAGCCTTCCGCCCGTATAACTTTATGATTCCGGAGACGTACGTAAAAATGGATTTACGCCCTTACGTTAAAGGAACAACGAATGCTGAAAATACCTAATGTTTGCCTGTTTATTTTTTAACGCGCTTTATGGTTTCAACGTCATGAATAATACTTCCGCGCGCCAAGGAAAAACGCCGTATGAATATTCGAGAGTTGCCAGATTTCCTGCCATAAAATGTTTACTTTTGAGGAAAGTTATTGATATTTTTCCTTGAAATTTTTAGACTATTTAGATCAAATTACGAATGAAATTCTTTAAATAGGTAATTGGAAGAAAAATGCTGATAGATATACAAGAAAAATGTGTGATTTGTTAAAGGAAATTTTGCAAAGGCTGAAGGCTCATACGCGGCGTTTTCACTTAGCACGGCAAACCGTGGGATTTTGTCACATATAATTTGAGTGTCAAGTTCACGCTGGGAGGATAGAAAAAAAGTGAGTTAAAGATTGAATGTAGATAAGCGCGGCAAAAATTCAAAACTGGCAGTTCGCCCGCGTGGTTCGTGTAGCATGGCACGTTGGGCTGTCGGGTAAAAATAATTCACCCAGCGACAGCGACGAACTCCGAAAGTAAAAGAATCTAAGTTCATTAGCTGTTAGTAAACAGATCGCAAATAAATCAATTTGGCATAAAGCGCTTATTTGATTGGAGCCTTTTTTCGCTTTTAATCGTAATGACTTGAGTAATTAAGGTGTTTTTAGTCTTTGATGTTTGGGCATGCCTTCAAATGAAAAGATATTAGTATGAATAAGTAGTCAATTGGACGTATTTCTACCAAACAGACCTATGTGGAGGTGAGAAATATGGGGTGTGCTCTAGAAAGCTGCATATAGAAGCAATGTAAAAGTGGGCGTGATTCCTTTTGTAGAATTGGAAAAGCGGGATATTACATTCTATCAAACAGACCTATGTGCCAACTGAATGCGGGACTCATGAGCCGCGGGCATGGCAAGAGAGCGTTGTGGACAGGGCTCATGAGTTAAAGACTCCCTCCAACGATCTCCCCGTTGTGCCGGCGCTCGTTCGTTGCCGCTGACGTCACTGGCGCTTTATTATTCTCATTCACTCTTACGCAAAGAGAACTAACGAGCACCCCCCCCATATTTCTCACTTGCACATAGGTCTGTTTGGAAATACGTCCAATTAAGCTTCTAAGATGTCACTCCCTGAACCGACCATTGGGCAGCAGTGCTGGCGAGGCGATAATCGTCAACAATCGATAGTATCCCATTTGAAGCAGTGGCAAATAATCGATTGCTAAAATGTTCGTTGTGAACACCCTCATGATCGATTCTTTTCTATTGGGTTAAATGGCAGATCAATCGAATTAACGCACAGCAGGAGGCCACGCCACTGCTGGGCAGGATTGGTATTGTAGAAACGCAGAACATTTTTTCTGTTATGCATGTTGCCTATATACTAATTGAAGGGGCTCCTCTCGTTTAAAAAAATTAGGATAAAATAAAATGATTGAATTATTTATTTGCTTTGCAAAATGGCTACCTTCCTGATGCATGAAACTTATTTCACCGATCAAGATTGATTTTTCAGCCCAAACGCTGTAAAAAAAAGCGTTTTTACAGCGTTTTGGCTGTACCATACGTCCCTCATTAAAAGCATTTTCCTTTCATTATTTTATCAATCATTAAAAATTGAAATACATCGGCCAAAAGTACTGCAGTTTTATGAAGGGTCAAAACTGGACCGCGTTAAGCAGAAAGGAAGCAAGCCACATCAGCAATCGTCTTTAAATGGGCAATTTAACTTTATTCATGAAAATGGATGTGCTGATTTTTTTTTTTTTTTTTTTTTTTTTTTTTTTTTTTTTTGCAAATTTCAGTGAATTTTCTGCTTAGTGCGAGGCAGATTACCTAAATATTTCAAGAGATTCTGCACAAAAGTTTTCGTGTAAAAAATTAAAGTGCCCCGCTAAGTTCGGCATAAGCTGATGTGGCTTGGTTCCGTTCTGCTATACACGATCCAATTGAAATATCAATCAATATTAAATTGCAACAAATATCTCAGTATCCCTCGCTGAAAAGATCCGCTGGATGGCGAATATTTCCGTCGTCGCTTTCCCTTCAGTTGAATAATTATTACATTGTTTTATTTTCGATTCTCATTCTGTTTTCAGGTGGACCGGGGTGTGGAAAAGGCACCCAGTGTGACAGGATCGTTCAAAAATACGGATTCACTCACATCTCCACCGGCGATCTCCTGCGGGATGAGGTGGCCAGTGGATCCGAGAGGGGTCAAGAACTTACGGCTATTATGAAGGAAGGGAAATTAGTGCCTACGGTGAGTAGCAGACACATTACCGTGGAGTTTACCAGTGGCGTGGCGTGAATGATCGATCATCGATATTTCCTCATTTGAAAGTGCAGGAAAGAATCGATTATAAAGGTGTTCGCTGCGAACACCCTGTTAATCGATGCTTTTCCATAGGTTTAAATTGCATAACAATCGATATATCGCAAAGCACGCCACGCCACTGGAGTTTACGGACATGTTAAAAGTACAGCCGACCCTCTTTTGAGTTCAATTTACGTGCTCCGCGGTTGAGAATCATAATGGTGAAAGAAAGAATTGCATGTTACTTTTAACGAACATCACCTGAGCGATGATGTGGTGTCGAGTATTGTAGGTTGGCAACACTGTAATCCTCTATTTAAATCCATTATAAAAATCGATTCCAAGTGAAGAAACCAGCCTCATCTGGAGTAGATTATTTAACATGCTCATGCATTAAGGAAAACAGTGCAAGTGCAACAACTGGCAGATGTTGCCAAATTGCAAAAAAGGCAACAAGCTATCTGCTGCGATACTCGAAGCAGCTGTCTTCCATTTTAAGAGGTACCTTCTACGATTAGAGATTAATAAATATTTTTTTATATTGATAAAGCAGTTTTTTCTACATGTAAATGGTGTAAGTAATACGTGTTTCTTTTATTGACTTGCAGGATATCGTAATGAGCTTACTGAAAGAAAAAATTGTAAAAGAATTACCCAACACCAAAGGATTTTTGATTGACGGGTATCCACGCGAGAAGGAGCAAGGAATCCAATTCGAAAGAGACGTAAGTCACAACATTCAACTGCCTCAATTAAGGGTTAAATTGGTCATTCCTCCTGCTATGTATTCCCAAATGCATTGATGCTAACCCTCTACACTGGAAAAAAGAAAAACAAAAAAAAACAAAAAAAAAAAACAAACCATTGGATCCAGAGTCCTGACTCTTAAAAACATTGACGAGAAAAAATTCTCTTGATTCAATCACATTTTTGCTTAAATCAAAAGGAAATCCGCTCAAATTAAGAGGCTTGGTTCTGGATCTAAGCAAAAATCCGATTGAATCATAAGAGTATTTTTTCTTGTCGATGTTTTTAAGAGTCTGGACTCCTGCAGATCCAGTGTTTTTTTTCCAGTATATGACATAGCGTTACGAATTCGTAACAACGTATTTTTTGGGTTTTTAAAAACTGAACCTGTCCCCGGTGGCGTGATTTTGCAAATTTTCATCAGTTTTTCTTTTTTCGAAAAACTGATACCCTTAAATTTAAAATTTTGAAACAAAATTGGTGACATATGTTTTTTATGCAAGCTACAAAATGGATTAGTGTCCCATACAATCTGAGTTTCAAAATTAATTCATGTCATAGAGGGTAGATCGCACTGCAAAGAACGGAGCTGGAAAGGCGGATTATATTTTGCTCTGCTGTCTCCATTTTACGGACAGCTTCATCATTATAAAGTTTCATTTCAGCCACATTTTGATATCAATATAGCCTATATAAGTGCGAAACCACGTGTCCTCCATTGCGGTATTTCAAAATTTTCGTTTCTATTTCATTTTTCGAACAGAAACAAGCTGACTTTATGGTTTGAAATGAGTACAGAATAGTTTGCAAATAAGTACGGATGGAAATTCAAGGACGTTTCCAAGGCATTAGGTTGACTGCGTAGTTTCTTGAAGAAAAAAATAAGTATGATAGGAAGTCTGTAGCGTAGCTAACAGACTTTGGCAGTTTGGCCATCGATAAAAATCCCAACGCTGTTCGTAATTGAGAGGGAAAAGGGCCGTATTCGAGTAGATAGGTTTTTAGAATACCGGTTCAAAATAAAAAAAATGTTGGTATTTTGACACTATCGTTATAGTATTACTTAATATTATTGCAGGTAGCTGAAGTTTCAATCGTCCTTTACTTCGAAGCCTCCGATGAAACGATGACACAGAGGCTTTTGAAACGAGCTGAAACATCGGGCCGTTCGGACGATAACGCCGAAACTATTAAGAAAAGACTAGCAACCTTCCATCAGAATAATGACCCAATCATTCAACAATACGCGAGCAAAACGAAAACGGTAAGATCGCACCCTATTTTATCTCAATTCCAGGGGGCGCACTGGAGGAAGGACGCCGCATGAGCATTTGAGAGTTGCTAAAATTCCTCCAGTAAAATGTTAATTTTTGAGGAGATTTATGAATATTTCCCCTCGTGATTTTTAGATACTGTTGATCAAATTCTGGATGAAATCTTGTAAACAATTGGGAGAGATATATTCACAAGATCTCCAGGAATTAGGACTTCATCGAAGGAAATTTGGCAACGCCTGATGGCTTATACGGCGTATTTCCTTGGTACGGCAGCGTAATCTTCATTACTCAATGAACAGCTCCTTTGTTCAGGGAAACCATTTAGTTATATGTGCATTGTCACTGAGGGACATTTAGAGGGAAGTCTTACTTACTACCTACAGCGGGAGAGTGACGAATAGTAAGAGCAACGCGCGGCAACACCGAGGTAACTTTTTCGCGCCATTTCCTCTGCGCATACTCAACGCGCATTGCGCGGGAGCGGGAGCGGCTGACCCGTTTCGGCAACGCGCGAAATTCGAAATGACGCGTGGGTAGCATTAGTTGCGAGCATGCCGTTCTTTCGCACAGTTATTTCTCTCCTCCCGTGGTATTTGTTCCCCTTTGAGTGATCCTAAAGATCTTCTTCTTTTCCAGCTCCAATTCCCCATATGCAGTTTAACAATACTGCCGTGGTAAGGAAGAATGCCGTATGAACATACGAGAGTTGTCAAATTTCCCCGAATAAAACTTGTATTTTTTAGGAAAGTTATGCGTAGTTTCTTTTAAATTTTTTCGATATTTTAGATTTAATTGGGAAAAATTTTTTCTAAAAATTGGAGAAAAAATAGTTAGAATTTTCCCAATACATTTGTTGGTTATTTAAAGGAAATGTGGCAACGCCTGAAGGCTCATACGGCGTTTTTCCTTTAGCACGTCAGAATCAGATCTGGTAGAATGTTTTACTCAACATTCCTCATCAACTTTTGAAGGCCATAAAACCATACTTAAAAATGTAAAACTGAATAAACTATTAAAAAACTAACTGACTCAAAATGAAAAACATGACTAACACTTAAAATTCAGCGACTGTAGCCGTTGAAGGAATTGACATGGTCAGTTGGAGCATTAATTCGCCTTCAATTTCGAGTGATACTGTGTCATGCTTGGGTGGTCGAATAGTTGCTTCGCGCTCATACCATTTTTATTGTTGTTCCTGAGATCCAGCGACTTTAATTTACTCGCTGCAGGATTTGGCATAGTGAGTTGGTGCGTTAAAAGTTCACTTTGAATTTCGAGAGATACTGTGCCACGCTCGGGTGGTCGAATAGTTGCCTCGCGCTTGCATATGCTTAGATCGTTTTCATTCTTATTGTTATTCCTTAAATCCAACAACTTTAGCCGTTGGAGATTGAGCCTCGGGAGTTGGCGCGTTAAGTTCGCCTTGAATTTCGAGTAATACTGTGCCACGTTCGAACTGTCGAATATTTACTTTGCACTTGTGCAAGGAGTACTTACACCGAGTCTAGATTTTCTGATAAAATACAAATTTTCCAGAGAACCTGTTAATTTATTTCGTTGATTTTTGAGGGGCATTCATTCAAAAAGTTCTCTTATACACTGAAAAATAAAAAAAACTCCGGCTGTGGAAGCCGCACTCACGGGCTACAAGACTCCAGATATAGACTATCTGCTAGACTATCCGGATGAATGGACATACCGTCCGGTTTCCGGGCTAGAAGGCCGAAAGTTCCGGGCGCAGCACCCGGAACAATCGAACTACGGCTCCAACACCCGGAACTTTCGGCCTCTGAGCCAGGAACGGGCGGTATGTGTTTATACCCTGGTAAAAATTGGCAGTAGAGTGTGTGTTCCAAAATACTATAGACCTAAAGCCGGCTGTAAGATTTCCAATAACTTCTGTAGCCGGCTGTACAATATTTTATAGCCTTTTATAGCCGATGGCGATTAAGCAACAGCCAGACGATAAAGTTTATGCTAAACGTTACTAATTACGGATACTAGGACTTAGTTAGTTTTTGGACTACCGCTCTCTTTTTGTGCCGTAGTATCTTGATTTATTTTGCGAGGAAAGCTCCGCACTTTTGAAGGGTGCTTGTCATTCTTTATATGTTGCAGCGCCTTCAATTTCTTATGAAACTGTGAAATACCTCTGGTGTGAAATAGTTGCTTCAGACGCCGTGGCACGCTGCGGCGAGGCGAGGCGGGCTGAGAGTGCGAAACGCGCATTGGCGCCTACAAACCTAACAGGGATACTTCACGCATTGCGCAATGCGTGAAGTATCCCTGTTAGGTTTGTAGGCGCCAGTGCGTCGCCGCTCCGCTTTGTGTTAGGCTCTAATATTTAATCTCGCGGAGTCAGCGTTTTTCAACTCATGATTTTGAAATGTTTGCTCACTCTGTACGGACTATTCTCATTTTAATTGATGAAAAAAAATATGTTTTAAAGGAAAATATAATGTGTGTTTTGCAAATATTAAGGTAGTTCCGTATCAAACTTAATGATTTCCAAAGCACACGAATTTCTATACAATTTCTTATAGCCTCTTATAGTCAATGGCGATAAAGTGTAAAGCCCGGCGATAGGAACTATAGCCCGACTGTATACTTTTTTGAAGCTTCGTATAGCCCGAATATATGATTTGCTCCGCTTTCTACAGTCAGCTATATGATTTTCAATAGCCATCTTTAGTCGGCTATAAGAACTCCTATGGTATTTTGAAACGCAGCTCCTATCGCCAATTTTTACCAGGGTAGCCCGTACTTTTTTTTCATCGTATGAAAATTGCAAAATACTCGTATTACAGCATTCATAGAGAAAAAAACCTAATCCTTTTTACGATTTACTTTTCAGATATCGGCGGAGCGACCTCCGGATGAAGTCTTTGCAGAGGTGGTGAAATACTTGGACGAATTAAAGAAGTGAAAATCCACTCTAAAGCGTTCCACTGAAAGTGCAAAACATAAGGCCTCAAAGGGGAAAAAATCAAAGAGGGGCTGTTAAGGATCTGGTCAAGAACAGAGCCTGATTATTATGATCATTCGGCATATAACCAGATTCAGCTCAGCTATAAAGTTTCACCTTCATGTAGTTGTAGCTACGTAGCTCTGCATATACCTACACTTCTGATACACTTTCGTCTCTATCTGCAATTTTTTAGACTAGTACAAACATAATAATTCGCCACTCATCAATATGTCTACAGTTTCGAGTGCCTCGGTACACCTTCTTATGAAATTATTTTGCTTTATTTCGGTGAAATTGATGTAAACTTAGGGTGACAGCGTAAGCTTGAGGTAGATACGGTTTGCTGCAACATATGATTGCTTTTTAGCGTGTCTAAAAATGTTATACTAGGGAATGCGGATATACGTACGGATTCATGTTCCTAATTAAGAGAAAATATGCATTGTAAAATTTATTTGAAATTCAGTTTGAATGTTGAGAATTTCAACACAAGGTGAAAAAAAGGTTACCAGTTTTCTATTTATGAAAATTAAGAGTCAGAAATTAAAGATCTATTTATGTTTTTGCACAATTATTTTTGGATGAAACTTTGTTACTGGATTTGTAACACAGTATTTTAAGTTAGTAAATCACTAAGTACCTGCTTCCACAGATAAGTAATAGAGAAGTCGCATAAAATTTGTTCGGGTCAAAGTTGTTGGATAAAATTGTTAGGCCTGTTATCGTGAAGTCTTTTCAGAAAAATTTTGTCCCTCTTAAGTAAAAACATTTATTTTTTTAATTCATATATAAATATAATATTTATTGTAAATAATGTATATGCTTTGAAAATTAAAAAAAGAAGTTAGAAATACTTGTGCGTTTTTAATGTGACTTTCATGAATCTTTATAATTGATCGTGGTAGAGGATTCATCATCGATGAATTTGCGAAATATTTTGAAGGAAAATTCATAAAAATAATTATTTTGGGATTTTTTTTATTTTTGGACATATCCATGAGGAAAACTCCTTCATTTGAGATCGTTTGGAAGCGAAGCTAATCCAAACTGATTGTGAGCCAAACACGGTTAGATGAGGAAATAGTACGCAAAAACAAGGATCGAAATGTGGAGAATAGTGTAAGTTGCCTATCTACTGATAGAAGGGGCTACTCTTATTGAAAACTACTGCAATAAAGTTGAAATAAGAGTAAGTCGCCCTTTCTGTTTGTATTGAAAATTGACTAACTTTCAGGAACGAGAAACTCATTTTATTGATCGTTGAACAATGCCATATATGGACTAATTGTAAATCTAATTACATTTATACTGCATTGCATTTCAACTGTATTTCAGTATTTTCGTTGCTCTCTGCTATTTTGGACTGTCACGATTTCACAGGCTGCATTGAAATTTTTTGGACGTTACGCTGATGTGAGTTTTTTACGGTAGGCGCGTTGCACTCAAATATTTACTTACTCCCAACAGCTGTTTGAACTTAAACTGATTGTGAGAGCAATACGCTGACCTCCAGAAGACACATCGATGCCAGTTTCAAGAGATATCCTGGCGCAATCCAGTTCTCAGTGTAACACAGTACCGCATCGAAGATAATTGAAAATATTTATCGAACTGATCGGAGCGCACGCGTTTACGACCATTGCTGACCGGTACCGTTTCTCGACTTTGACCAAGATCTCAGAGCGAATCATGTCTTATCAATGGTCACTCTAACACCGCCTCAGTTCTCAGCGGACATCGTTTCGCGACTGAATGAGTTCAATTGATAATTGAAACAGATCCCCCTCCCTAAAAATCTACAGACAGCTATTCACATTCTAACAACTTTAGTTTCGCTTTTCGTGGTTGCGTTCGTCGTCGCGTGCACTACAGTAGACATGATAGACGACCCTTAGAGTCAAATCAAAAGCTCCTTTACGAGCTATGGATCGACATGTTATAGTAAACGAATTTTTTTCACGGGTGCTTGGAATCGATTGACGGTGTTGTGAGAGTTTTATTTACCAGCTCAGGGATCGGTGTACCCACTAGAAATGTTGTTGTTAATCCATGCAGCTTTGATACAGCGACTGGGAGTTTTCCTGGTGCTTTTTTCAGCGATTTCTTTCGGCGATTGTTATAAACCGGTCTTCTTGGTCCATGGGATTCTATCATCGAACCGTTCAATGGAGGCTCTGGCAAGAAGGATAGAGGAGGTTTGACTCCATTAACTGTACTTTGTAAAGTCCTCTTTGTAATACTTATCACTATCTAATAGGTATCTAATTTACACTAAAAAGATGGCACGTAAAGCTTGGAACATGGACTGTCGAATTACTTCCGCGACGAAAGATTTTCTGGGCACTTTTCTTCTATCGTGAAAAAAATCGCATGCACTCATTCCCTTGGAATAGGCTTTAATTTTGCAATTGAGGACTGCAATTTCTGGCTCATCCTTAAAAACACTTACGTACATAGGGAAAATAATGCTTCATAGGTTGTTTTTGAACCGAGCCAGAAAATGTGGTTCCGAATCGCAAAATGTTGTCGAATTTGTCGTTTCCCAGACGAAGGAACGTAACTCCATTCCAAGGTTGCAAAACTGACTTAAACACCTTAATTTTCTACAAATTTGTGACTAAGTGACATCGGTTCAAAATATTCCTGAATTTTGCGAGTAACCAGAAAAAAGTCAGTGACATTTTTTTCCCAATTTAGTTTCTTCGTGAAAATTCAGTTCACGAGTAAAAATGATGTGTACTTATTATGCCATTTCTCCCTAGATACTTGCCGAGTTCCCCCTATTTCATTACTTTGCTCCCCTTCCCCCCTCGAATCAGCCGCGGATTTCGAGGGGGTGTGCGTGGACGCCTTGAAGGAGGTGTGAGGGGGGGGGGCTTCCCCTGGAAAATGTTGCCAATTTGATGGTCTCTAGAGGCAATTTGAGGCTAAAATCAGCAGTTTTGACTCCTTTTTCACTGTACAAAGAACTTTTTGTCCTCAACGTACTTTAAGTGAGAAGCAACCTAGCCTGGGTCAGTCAATTTATTTTCAAATCAAAGTGGGTGCATGATATTCTTCTCTTTTTCTGCCTCGTGTAGAAGCATCCTGGTACCAAAACGTACGTTTCCGATAGATTCCTGAAATGGTCTAGCTTAGAGCCCATTTGGCGGCAAATTTCACGAGTAGGAGAGGATTTCAAAAATATATCGGACTCTCACCCAGATGGATTTCACGTAATAGGTAAGCCCTGTGGACAGTGTTTGTTGGTTTTGTTGAGTAGATGTTTCTTGAAAATAGAATAAAACGTTGCCTGATGTAAAAAATATCTGGAGAAACAAAAAGTTGCGAGATTTCTTGCATTGTCAGTCTTACTGTTAGAAAATGGTCTCGACACAGAGATAATAAAAAATATAAGATCAGGATATTGAATGATCAAAATTAATAAGAAATTTCAGAGGGCCTAACGATGAGTAAAACGTACCTCAGGCGGTGCCTTTCACACTTTTGGGGCCTAGAATTTATAATGCATGGTGAGCTATACTTAGTCTTCAAAGCCAGGAAAACGTCCATGATTTAGCAATTCTGTCATTGTAAAAACAGAAACAGAGTGTCTACTAAAATTTAACTTCGGATTTTCCTGATTTTTTCTGCTATTTCAGACGTGATTTCTTGATTTTTTTCGCGAATAAATTAACACTCATTTACATCTGATGAGATTAATCAAATTTTAGAAAAATGCTTAAAACATTCAGAATTCCCTGGTGTACGGCCAATTTTCCGATTTTTTCTTGATACAATCGAATTTTCTGACAATTTCCGGTTTTGACTGACGGTAGACACCCTGAACTTTGAGTCTCGGACAAAAGGATGGAATTTAGTTTTCAAAAAAGGGGGAGGGAGAGATGGAGGTGACAAATAAAAATGGAAATCCTATCATAAAATCGATGGAAGTTCGAGGAAGCTTCTTCGACAAATTATTAGGCAGACACCGATCATGGCCTAATAAATACTGAAAAACTATTGCGATACCATGATGTAATTTTAGAGAATCTTGACAGCTACTAAACATTGCAGATGAAGAAGAGAAAGGAGGATAAGGATTGGGTATTGACAAATTTAGTTTTTAAGTCTTAGACTGTAGTATGCTCATGCCAAAAATCGAGTACTTACCACTTTTAAATTTTCATGATTTTGATTTGCACAGGTTACTCACAAGGTGGTTTAATAGCCAGGGGACTTCTAGAATTGTTCCCCAAACATAATGTTCATACTTTCGTCTCGTTGAGCTCTCCTCAAGCTGGCCAGTATGGAGGTGGGTAATTAAGTACGTGTTACATCTTCTTCGTATATTTTTTTCTTTTTCTTTTACATTCAAACACACAACTGGGTTTCTTTCATCACATACTGATAGGTTCATCTTGCTGAGACCCATAACCAGATTTAGATGGATTCATGTTGAGTAGCACATTAAGTTAAGGCAAACAATTTATGTAAGGTCAGAGTTGTAGACTTAGAGCATTGTCGGTCTCAGCACCTGGATATATATCAGAGGCTGCGATAGGATTGCACGAATGTCCTCTTTTGTACCTTTTTGGAGTTGCATGGTAGGAATGCGTGAATTTTTCTGGTAAATGTTCGCGCGAATATTCAATGTTCAACGAGGAAGCGTTAATCTGGCAACCTTGGTAGTTAGTGGTAAGATAACTAGATCGCAGAAGACAGTTTATTCCCTCCTTATACTTACGGGCACGTCTCTCTTATAGCTCGATATAGCCCTCGCAGCACGAATGGCCCAGAGAGCTTTCATAGACATTTAAAAAGTAAACTGGGGGCCTGTGGCTGCTACACGGCCGCCAATCACTGAAAAAAAGCGTAGAACAGCCATGTTCAAGTTTTTTAAGAGATGGATGGATTCAAAACCCGCCGGTTGCACCCGAAAGAATGCGTATAGTTATCTCTGATCGCAACGTTATGTAGTGCCAATTTTATGTTTTATTTTTAATAAATGTTTTTGAAAAGCTGCGCACACTTTTTCTAAAAATTTCCCGCGAATTTACTTGAATGATCTCAAATATAAGTATCGAAAATTTTGACGCGATATACTCGTTTGTTCTATTTTCTTTTAATGTAACCCAAGAACAATTAAATATCATCAGAGTTTCTGAATCGTTGCGATGAAGATTCGTATTTTACCTTTAGTTATGGTAAAAACTGGAGCAGAAAATCAAGAATAATAACACGCAGTCCTACAGCATTTTCACAGACTTGTAGGCGCTAATATGCGTTTCACGGCAACTGACCGACTGCACGGCATTTGGCGCAATGCGAGAAGTATTCATGCAGTCTTGTAGGCGCTAATATGGGCTTGACGCCGACCGCACTGTTTGGCGAAATACGTGGAGTATTCCGTCAGTCTTGCAGGCGCTGATATACGATTACCGCCGGCAGCACTGTGTTTGGCGCGATTATTCGAACTCGCGTTAGAATAATCGCGGCATCTATCGAATAATAGAGCTTAAAAGGCCCATTTTGTGTTTCGACGCGGCATGAGCATTCCAGCGTTGCCTCGTTTCTCCCAATTAAGTATTTTTTCCGAGAAAAGTTAGGAAAGTTCTTTATATCCACGACCATTATTCAATCTTTTCACATCATTTATCGTCAAAACGTGAGACATCGATGACTTGTCAAAAAATTAACCAAAACCAGCGTTAAAATAAAAATGCGTTTATTTTCCAACTGTTCCTTGTTTTGCCAAAATTCTACTTAACAGTTGAAAATACTTCATTTTAAATTCGCGCATTCCTGTAGCAGATGGTAAGGTTTCTACTCGCGCAATCCTTGTGCCTTTGTCGCGTAGTCACCTCTCGCGCATGCTTGGATTACCGCTGGATATGGACCTATGTGGACCTCTTATTTCGTCAGTTAGCACAATGGGGGCGGGGGGTGTCTGAGGGTTTTGATTTTTTATTTATTTTTCATTCTCGGTTGATAAAATGTCAAGACTGCCCCCCCCCCCCATCCCAACACACGTCCCAGACATTTTGTGTATTTTAGTCTTGTTGATCCATTTTTTGGGTTTTATTTGTTTAAAGGAAAATAATCTGAGTGCATAACTTTTGTCTAATTGATTGGTGCACTAATCTATGATTAAAGGCATTATTTTTCATTTTTCCTTACTATGATACATTCCAGATTCATTTTTGCACCTTATTTTTCCAAACCTGGTCTGTGCAACTGCTTACGAGCTGTTCTACTCGAAAATTGGTCAAACGATCTCAGTTGGAAATTATTGGAATGACCCATACCATCAAAAGTTATTCTTCAAGTACAGTTCTTTCCTGCCGTTCTTGAACAATATGATTAAAAGTGATTTTAGCGATCAGTTCAAAGAAGGAATCTCTAAGTTAAAGAACATGGTTCTGATAGGCGGGCCTGATGATGGGGTGATAACTCCATGGCAGTCAAGGTAGGTAATTGTGATTGTGCTTTTGAGTTTGCCGGATTTTTAATGTAAAATTGTGAGAGATATGAGGTCTCCCTAAAATTTTACCTTCAAATGAATAGTCAAACTATTGATGACGCTGATTTAAAAATTGAAAAAATGCACTGGGCTTTATGGCATGTTTGCGTTCATTAGAAATCCTGAGCCTTGGTGTCTTATACTGTCCGCATCAACCGTGACATGTATCATTCGGGGGTATATAGAGCAAGGCCTTCGGTTGGGTCAGCAGAGTTGCCATGTTATTCAGTATTCAAAATCAGATAATGATATACAGGGTGATCAAGAGTTAAACGGCTAGACTGCAGGAGCATGTTCTATGGGTCAAAATAAGAATTTTTTGTAGTATGAAGATTTTTCCATAAGTGCCCCCAGTCGGGGCTACGCCCCCCCCTCCAAAAAAAAAATTAAAAGTAAATCGTTTTCCCTGAATTTTGGCAACGATTGTGAACCAAATCTCATGGAAATCGGTACTTACCTGTACTTTTATGCCCTGCATTCATAAATGATCCAAAGAAAATCTAAATCTCAATTGAAAGAGGGGGTTTGGGGCTATTTCAGCTCCTGCAGTCTGGCCGTTTAACCTTGGATCACTCTGTATATGTTGTAGTCAAAACCCGAAATTTGGTCCAATCATGAGGGGACAAAGGTTCTTTGGTTAAATCTGTAATTCATCAAGAAAGGCAGCTTTTGTCCCGTCAAATAACGATGTGACCAGTCACATGCCGATTTGACCACAAACTCGTTGGTCAAAACGTAAATTGTTTTTTAAAAGTGAGTTTAATTTCTTCCACCGATTTTCCCGATGGAAAGGAGCTCTGTATCAGGGTCGTAAACGTTCAAACATCGCTAACTGGAGGCCAGGGTTTTTTCGCCTGTTGCTGCAAAACTAAGGGTACGACAGAGAAGTGTTACCTAGGAAGAAATTACTTCTCACTGCCTTGCAGTGATAGATAAATAATTAAAGATCTTCCTATTTTTTAAAATTTTGATACTGGTCCTCATTCTGTGGATCTGATAAATTTTGAAAGTTATATAATAAATTTAAATAGACGGACCTTTTGAAGTAACCGGATTCTTTACTGAGATATTTATTACTCACTGGCTCCTCTTTTAGCCATTTCCTGAGTTGTCCAGTTAAATCGTTCATTTTTAAAAACGACTTACGTTACGACCAACGGCGGGTTTGTGGTGAAATCAGCATGGGACTGGCCACATTGCGATTTGACTGGATAAAAGCCAAATTTCTTAAAGAATTGCAGATTTGACCAAAAGGCCTTCGTCACTTCGCGATTGAAAACTTGTAAAGGTTTTCGATACTTTTTTCTGAAGATAATTAATGATTTGCTAATATTCTTTTACTTCGCCCTGTGGTTGTAAATCTACCAAATTTACTTTTCTGAAGTCAAGAACTGTACATTTATCTATAGCTACTGAAAACGTGGATCTTTGAGGATGTTGAATCACTGATGTCTCTGTTAATTTTTCAGTCATTTTGGTTACTTCAATGAAGATGGAGCGATAATAAATTTCAAAGATCGAACAGTGTACATAAATGACACCATGGGACTACAAACTCTCGATTCTCAGAACAAGCTACAGATTATAACGCTCAGCAATGTCTCCCATTTCAATTGGCACAGAAATCATACAGTGACAGATGATTTTATTCTTCCTTGGCTGGATTAAAAATGACGACAATACTGTTACCTCCTTGCAAAATTTTGAAAAGTACCAAGTGATGATTAGATTTTTCATCAATGAAACAGCAATAAAGAAAGAAAAAAATCAAAGATTTGAAAAAGTGATTACGGATTTTGGATCTTATGGAATAAGAGGTGTTTTAACGAAAAAATACTTTTATGCAGAAATAATTTTATAATAATATCTCTCTCGGAGAGGAAAACCATTGGAAAAAGTAACAAGTGTTTACATTTTTACACAAAATTTATACATAAATTAGAAAAATAAATGCTTCCTGTATTGTTTGTTACAACCCGAAAAATCGGCGTCATAGTCCTGCTTTGCCTGATCAAATAAGTAAAAAAGAATTAGACGGAACTAATATACTAGAGGCGCATGTTTTGTCTCTTGAATAACACACGATGCACATTAAATTCGAATGATTTCGAGAAAAGTTGAGGAGAGTACAAATGCGCCCTCTCTTTCAATTCTTCCGTCACTTTGGTTCCTTCAATAAAAATAGAGCGTTAATAAATTTCAAAGATCAAACAGTGTACATCAATGACACCATGGGACTCATACAAACTCTTGATCCTCAGAACAAGCTACAGATTAGCTGCAGATCTAGTCATCTCACATTGTTTTGACGGATGGTTAAAAAAAATTAAAGTACATAATTATAGACTAGGTATCACATGATTCCACAGGGTACGGTATTACTGTCTGATTGGATTTTTGCAAATTGTAAGAATAGGATGACAAAACTAGATGAACACTAAGGTGGGATGACTGTATAAAACTCAAACCTTAATTTTCAAGAGTCAAAATTTTGAGACCACAGATACCAAAGATTCCATGAGGGGTTTGTACCTCAAGAAACTCGGATGAAATAGGTTGCGTAAAACTAACTCCACTTTGAAACAAATTTTTAGAAAGAGTTTTTTAAATTCTTCATTAAATACCTGTTTTTGAAATAAAATCTGAAAATTTCCCTTCAACTTAATCCGCTCATTACCCACCAGCAATTCTTAGGTCTTTGTCTTAACCATAATTGTTCACATCAGTTCGTTCTGTTCTTGCATAGGAAAGGACACTATTTCTCACATTGAATTTCTGAGGGACTAATCTCTCACTAATTCAATGTGAGAAATATGTGCACTCCTAAAATCATTCATCTTCAAACAATCATGAAATATCAGAGTAAGACTTCATTGAGTGGAATATAGAAAGGAAAAGAGAAAAAGTAAAAAAGTCATGGCAAGCTTATTTTCTAATGAATACAGAAAAAAAATGAAAAGACTTCTGTGCGAAAGTGTTCGGATATTTTGGATTAGAAAAGGACTTCATCAATTTGAACTGGAACATGTACATTACCAATAAAGAAGAAGGAGATAGTATTTGGATGGACGACAGCAAAAAGGATCTTGACATTATCACTGTAGCGGCTTGAGAGTTCATTGATCTGTGCAGGCGAAGGCACTGGATCCAGGTAACTGAAACAAAATCGAGAGTACATGAAAATCACTGCAAAAATTTAGCAAAAAGTGACTAAGCGGAGCACTAGACAGGTTGAGAAGTGAATAAACCGAAAACATGCTTCCTTCCCACCTCATGCAAAGCGTTGAATGTATTCAAGATTTTCAAAAACCACTTGAAAAAGGGAGCTTGACTTTTATTGCTCAAATGAATCAGTACTTTTACAAAGAGCAGAGGACAAATTTTCCACAGTGTTTTTTTTTTTTTTTTTTTTTTTTTTTTTTTTTTTTTTTTTTGTTTTTTTTGTTTTGTTTTTTTTTTAAATGCAGAGTTCAAAAATGCAGAACAAAAACAGGATTTCAAAAGATGGAGTTCAGCTCCTTATAAAAGTACTGATTCAAATTATAATGAGTTAATATCAACTTTGTAATTAGGTATAAAAACAAAAGCATAAGTATTAATAAAATTGATCATCAGGACCGAACTGAGTGTTTAGAAAAAACTACCCTCCTTAAAATACGATGCTTTTAACCTTGGCAAGGTGGATCTAGCATCCTGAGGGATTTTGATGTAAAACATAATGAAATTAATTTAGTACCAATTTGATTTAGGTAAGTTGAAGTTTGGTTTTTGAGGAGTCTGATTTTAAAAGGATGGAATATCTACTTCCTCATTTGAAAATTGAATTTTGACTTTGTTTTTTAAACTTGAAGAGATCCAAGATGTAGGAACGAATCAAAGGAAAACTTTAAGTTCAGCCAGACCGTCACGTTCAGAGCTGGTCAATGTCCTAGCAAGATGTATGTGGAATCCAGAAACGGACAGAGAAAAAATGCCTTAGGAGACTTGGCTGGAAGGCAAACGGGTTGGACACAAAAGGAAGAAAAAACAAATTTCTTTCGTACATCTCTCCGTTCAAAATGTCTCCCTTCATTTTGGAAGTAAATTACAGGAAAAAATTTTGAAATAAAAAATTATTAAAAGAGAGATCTTAGTTAAAAAGTATGTAGTTTTTTTATTATTTATTATTTTATATTATTTTTTATAAGAGTTTATTGTGCTCTTCTAAATCTAATTATAATGCACATTTTATGTATTTAAAAGTTGAATTAATGGTGAATATAAGTACAAACAACAGAGAGGATAAAAAAAAATAAGTAGTCTGAGAAGACTTAAAATAAATACACGCACTAAGGGTACTAGGAGCAACTGAAAATCAAAATGGCCTGAAGAGCAAAAGGGCTGAGAAGTAAAAAAAAAAAACAGGGAGCTTTGGTTGATAGGCTGGGTCTACCATCCTCGGGTTTAGCGAGAGACTGTATTTCAAATCTCATGAGATGGAGCCTAGAGCCCCAATTGTTGGAATCGAAATCATGAATCTTAATTACTCAAGTTACGAAATAAGAAAATGAAACAATCTATGAAGGATATAAACTCTCGACATTCAAATGACTCTGCAAGGACTTTCCTAGTTATGGAAAAGAGATGTGGTTTGTGATATTCTAACATAATTACATCTGGCCTTATTTGTTGGGGGAGAAACGACTTACCTTGTCACGATGATTCTAAAATCGGGGTCTGACCTTGACACTTTTGCAAAGACCTTTTTTGGTTGGTAAACATCAAAGCTAACTTTCAGATGTAGGAAATCTCCTGCCTCCCTAACTTTAGACTTGAAAATCTGGAGAGCGCTTAATGCTGTGCCTGGATTGAAAAAATTAAGAAAAAACATTCATAATTATTTTGACTTGACAGGGGAAATGACATGATTATAGTGTTTGGTAATGAAGCAGCGGAATTATTTGATGTTGAATTCATGATAAGTTAAAACCAAAAATGGACTTATTACATACTATTTTATGTTCTTTTGTGGACTGTCAGCCAAGAAATAAGAGATTACTATGTAAATCTTTCTATCCTTTCTGCTGACTGAACAATTTACTATCATAAGTTTCACAAGATTTCTAATGTATCAATTTAAACTCACCTCTGGTTATACTGTTATCATTTCTACACTCTTAGGTGGCTTTCCACAAGGCAACTAAATTGTTCCATGATGCAGAATTGTTTTAACTTAAATTCAATATTAAAGCACCACGGTTATAGCTGAGTATTACTTGGACTCAATTTCGCAATCAGGAAACACTATTCCTGGCTCATGTATAAGAATACCTATCTACATAGGGAGACTAACAACACATACATCACTTCTGTCAAGAGGCAGAAATCATTGCAAATACAGTAAATTTGTTGCACTACGGTAGAAGCACAAATGAAAATGACGTGTGGTTCTCAACAAACATACAATAACAGATCATCAACGGATTTTTTGGATCTAAAAACTCCAGAGGATTTCTTCCTCCTCCCTCTTTATATTGATTTATTTTTGACTACTATTTTGGTTACTGTTTTTTTTACCCTAATTTAACAACATACTATTTCCGCGTATTATAAATGCAACTTAAAAATTAATAGTGAAAATAGACAAGGATTTCTTTTGAGGGGGCTTTCTACTTAGAATAAATCATTTCTCTCTAAAAAGCCATTTGAAATAGCACCTCCATTACTTTGAACCAGGTTTTTCACCAATTTTTGTTCTCTCTGAAAATAGATTTATAATTGCTTACATATGCCTATGCATTTTCGTTATGAGAAAAGAAAAAAAAGGGAGGGGGGGATTGCTGATCTTGAGACTTACCTAAATTTTTACAATGGTAGGGCTGCAAAAGCGATTCCATTTTTCCTTTCTCTTGTGGACTAGATGGAGTGTTTGATATTTCAGATTCCTGGTTAGTTTGACTTGAATTGATTTCCATTTCATTACTTTCGGAAGAAGTGGTTTCTTGATTTGTACCAATGTCTGTAATTTTCCCCGGCTGAGTGCTTTCAACGGCTTCAGTAGTGATTCTTGAGGTTTCGTTGGTGTCCTCTCCTTTCTGAGAATTCTCAACAGATGACAAATCATTGGGCTCCTCGTTGGACGCTTTGTTGGTTTCGTCTCTTTTCAAAGCTGCCCATCCTTGTAAAGAGGTGCTCACGACTTTACTTGAGTCAATCGTAGAAGTGCTTGATGTTTCGTTGGTCTCTTTTGCTTTTAGAGCTGCCCAACCTACTTTTTGGGAATCTGCCACTGATTGTGAATTACCTGCAGTAGGCTGGTCTTTTGAAATTGGTGATATTGATGTTCTGGAAGGAGTTCGGTTTGAGCTGGTATCCATAATTTCACTATCTCTTGATGTATCGTGTTCTCCAGAGGCACTACTTCTATCCGTACTTTCATCTTCTGATCCTGATTCATCCGTAGCAGGAAATGAAGAATCTACATTACGGACCTTGGCAGTGTTTTCAATGAGATTTGAACCAATATTTTGATTCACCCTTTCTATTTCGGCTTCATTAACTTCAAGAATTTCTGACTTGATGGGGACTTCAATAGAGTCCATCGCTGTTTCCTGAGTTGCATCACTAGCTGCATCCTTTTCCTCTTTTATTCTAGGCACATCTAGTGGTGTGATAGTAATGGTAGCTTCACTTTCATTTTCAGTCTTAACCCTTGTGACATCAATACTTTCTTGTTTGACAGTAATGACTCCCTCATTTGCTACACCATCTGCTGGATTGTTCATATTTAATGGGTTAGACATGTTTTGAGCACCAGCGTTTTGGGGTGTTTTTTCTGAACTATGTGCTGGTTGACTCGAATCACTATCAAGGATTACAACATCGTCATCTAGAGTTATGAGTTCAGTATCATCATCTATTCTCCTTCTTTTCGTCACATCATTGTACCTTTCATCAGAGTTTTTCTTTTTCCAAGCTCTCCCAAACTTCGAGCAAATTCTATCAGCTTCAGACTTCGATTGGCGAACTTTGGAGGCAATGCTAATGAAAGTATCTTCATCTGAAGATAAAACATCAATAGTTTCTACGACAGGTTTAGGGGTGGGTTGTTCAATAACCTCAATATCATCTTCATCACTCTCTGATTCGGAGGAAGAGGAAGAGGAACTTTCATCAGGTTTCTCTTTTTTGAAAGTAACGGTTGGTTTGCAGGCGGGGATGGTTCTTGCTCGGTTCAACAGATTGGATGGATTTTCACCTGCAACGTCGACAAAAAATATGTCGTTTTCTTCGCCCGGAGGTGATGAATTAGAAGATGACCTAGGAACACCAGGATTGAATTTTGTTTCAGGGATTTCATTGACGGGTGCAGAACCATAACCATTGTCTTCCTCATCTCTCGGTCTTGCAGAGTTGTCAGGATTGTGTGAGAAGTGTGGTTGAGAATTTTCAGGCATATTTGGATTGAAGGAATTTGAACCAAAATTAGGATTAAAGTTGGGATTGAAGTTGTTGTAATTGTTACCAAACCTGGGTCTAAAGAGATTTTGATTATTATTTTGATTTTGCATCTGGTTGGGAAATCTCCAATTACCTTGATTGTTTGGGTGACGGAATCGGTTCGAGTAATTATACATATTGATTTTTTCTGGGTTTTCAGCAAATTCTTCCGGGTTCTTGAACATTGCTTGTGCCATTGCCATCATTCTCCTGGCCATTCCTTGCATTTTTCTGGCTTGCCTGGTAACTTCACTCATTTCACCATTATTATTTCCATGATTATTGTACGGACGAGGAAACCTTTGACTAGGAAAACGAGGATTATAGTTTTGGAAACGAAAGTTAGGTTGCGGTTGGTTAAAAAAGTTGGGATTGTTAGGATTTGGAAAGGGTGGGTTTATTTGATTATGAGGATCAGAATTCATAGGATTCGGAAAATTTGGAAAAATTGGATTTGGGGGACCAGGAATCAAAGAATGTTGAAAATTTTGGGGAGCAGCACTCACAAAATTAGGGTTTATTTGATTTGGGAGACTTGGGTTCATTTGGTTGGGTAGTAATTGACTCACAACATTTGCAATTACCTGACCCAGTACGCCAGGATCTAATGGGTTTACTGGGTTGTTTAAAGGGGTTTGTCCTCCAACAGGAGTCTGGCTTATTGGTGGTAAATTCGGAATTGGTTGATTCATGAACGGTTGGCTCAATACAGGTTGATTTGGAAAAGGCTGATTCATGAATGGTTGATTCATCCGTGGCTCATGAATTTGGCCAGCACTTGGAAATTCAGGTTTGACTGGCCCTCCCATCAGGGACTGGTTCATTTGTGGTTGATTCATGAACGGCTGATGAGTCAGCGACTCGTCCGTTTGATTGCTACTTGAGATTGATTGAAACTCAGGTTTGACTTGAATCTGATGATGAGTCTGTGTATTTGAGTTATCTGGCCTAGAGTCCCACCTTGAACCATCTCTGCGTCTCTCACCGCGAGCGCCAGATGCAGACTGATTGCCAGTTACTGAGTTAGGAAATTTTTTTTGCTTCTGGTTTGACAAATTTTCTTCCTTAATTAGTTTTTCTTGCCTTTTTTTGAAATTTTCGACTCTCCTGAGGCGTTTCATTTGCTTTTTGGAGAGCCCCCCTCTTCTTTGTCTGCCTGTTAATTTGGGTTGAACTGGTTGGGAAAAATATCGCGTAGGTTGAGGTCCTCCACTGGAATTCGGGAGTTCCGTTGGATTTTTATGACGTTCATTTGGTCTAACAAAATTTTGGAGAACTGAAGTAAACTCCTTTTCAGCAGGACATGTTCTATGGGTGATTTTATTAGTTTCTAGATTGATGGTGGCTGAAAGGAATTTGCTCCGAATTTTGGTAGGAATGATCTGATTTGGTGGCATGGGTGCATAAATTTCACCTTTATCAAAAGTTGGGAAAAGTTCTACAATTGCAGCAAATTTTGAATCCCGAATAAGACCTGGCGGTTTATAGCTGAAAGCAGTGACATGCTTTCTCTCTAGATCTTCAGGCTGAATGAATTGCCACCTCATTGCTTTGTGATAAGTAGAGAAAGGTTGAAGACTTTCATATACTGGTGGATAAAACCTCAAGCAATAAGCGAGTTTTAATTTAATTCTGAAACTTTTCTTGTATACCTCTGATTGGACTGTTTTGTTATTTTTTAGGAGAAATCGAAATGCCATCATAAAAGCATCAATATCAACTTGTCTTATCTTGGCAAGTTCTGGGTCGTCATCTCTCCTTCTAAAAAATTCATAGAAATGATACTGCGAACGTATTTGGGGTTGAAATTTTGGTTTACAGATGATTTCTTTTTTTTCTACCTGATTTGTTACTTTGGTCACTGAAGATGCTTGATCGATGGTAGCAATTTTATCAGGAGAATGATGCGCGATAGATGAAGATGAGATCTTGAGTAATTCAGTATGCGTTGGAGATTTAGCCAAAGTTTCAGCAGTGATGTCTGACCGAGGAATTGCTTCTTTGCCTGATGTTGTAACTTCACTCGGCACAAAACTGCTGCTCGATTCTTTATTTTGTATAGTTTCCTTTCCATCATGTCTAAAAACTCTGTAACCACTTTTGGAAAGATGAGCATACACTCTGTATTCATTCAAAGTGCAACCAGAATTGAAGCCCAGGAGGAGAGAATATCCTCTTTGGATACTCACGGCAAGACCACAGAAAAACAGCTCTAGGTTACTCTGCAAAACAAAACAAATAAAATTTGACAATTAGGTGAAAAGGAACAAATAGTAAGAAGTTAAGCGCTAGATAGACCTGCATTTAGTCAGCCTTTGACTGGATTGGGCAATTGTTGTAAGCTGAGACTGGTTGAGACTTGTTGTCAATAACTCGCCTAGAGTAAGATTGGATCCTACTCTTGGCTTCAGCCAATGCTTTTAGCTAGTGGGTACATCTGACGCTTTAGCAGTCAAATACATCACATCTCAGCAACTCAAGAAAGAGTTACCTACCAAAAAAAAAATAGTAGGAACCTACAGCAGCAATGTTCCAATCATTTGGACTAATGAAAGCCGGTTTGAAAAATGGAGCACCAACACCCAAGACAGACAAAAAGTGTCCACATGGTGTTTCGCAAAAATTTGTACTCAAGTTTTCTTCAAGGTCTGTTTTTATTATACATTTTTGTCAGAATTTTGCAGAATTCAAGTTCTTTTAGAGTTTTCCACATGTTTAGATTTAATTACAAAATTTCGGTCATATTGAACTGGTTAACTTATACAGGTAATGTTAATGGCATATAACAAATAGCTGCGTAATTGGAAGATGGAGATATTTCAAAATTTTTGCTAATGCTTCATAATTTTATAGAAAATTGGCACTTGTTTTCACACGAAAATAAAGGCAACTAAAAATTGCACACTGTACAGAAAAATAATAATGTGCCAATTCTCTATGAAAATTGTGATGTAAAGAGTAACTTGTAAGCTTTCTTGGTGCACTAAGAATGGTTTTTGAGTTAACCTATGTGAGTAACAAGTCTCGATTTACTTTTAGCAAAAGCATATAAAGATTTTTTTTGTATAATTTTAGATGCAAATTTTATCACAGATCTCAAGTTTTTTGTTTCACACAGATTTTACTTCCTCTCTTGCACAACAAGGCTGATGATTAAGAAAAGGTTTGACTTTAAAAAGAAGGGGGGGGGGGTAAATAAGGTTTTAATATTATTGCCCATCCCATTGGGAATGCATTTGATCCAGCAAATTGGCAACATTGTCTTTTCTCCCTTTCAACCTATGGAGATGTATCGATTTTTGGAGGGGCCAGGTGCTCCGACAAGAATTGATTATGTAGCATAGATTTAAATGTAGGAAATCCAGTGTTCCTAAATTGCTGAATTCGCCTCTGAATCTCTTTGCCAATCTGTAGATTCTAATTTTTTACAAGAGTAGAGAGGCACATTTTATTAATAGATAATGAAAATGAAAAGTCTTGCCTTACTCGCCTGACTTCATTTTTTTTAAAATTATATATAACTGTCTAGTGTATGTACATTCGGACTATACAAGTCCATCCTGAGCACTATTATCACAAAAAATGCATTGAATTAACAAAGTATCACAATGCATTTGGGTTGTAAAAGACAATAAAAAAGAAAGAGAATAATCATGTAATAGACTGTGCGTAATCATGTACAGACAATAATATAAAAGCATAAACAAATATGTAAGGCAAGAATTTTCATTTTGATATTAATATTTTACCTTCAGATTTATTTCTTACATCAGTACTTTAATAAGCATGGTTCATGAAAAGCAGCATCTAAAACCCGTATTAATTTTTACTTACATTTTCAAGTAAGAATAAGCACTCTTCTGGATAAAGATAGTCACATCCATTGATGGAATGTCCGAAAGTTTCAAAAAATTTTCCAACCTTTTTTGTTACTTTAGCTAACTTCAGGTCATTGTCCCACTCCGCATTTGATAGGAAGTTGCTGAAAAGAGAATAATTTATAAGTGAAAGAACCTGCAGTAAGTTTTATTAGCTTTTGCCATTATTGCCTCTTTTTCTGAAGTTAAAAGATACTCCCAGAAGTTCAGAACATCTTATGTCTCCTATGGAATGCATGTTACAATAAATTAAATAATTAAGAAATGAAAATTTAAATTTTTGTAAAAAGGTATTCGAAGAGAATCTTCAAGAAACTTTAAAATATTGAACAAACGCTCTGATACTGGTCTCACTGAAATTTCAACAAAAAGGAGGATGGTCAGCCTATAGACACATTTTAGTTAGCTGCTATGAAAAAATATCATGCAAAAACTACATTCAAAGTAAAAGTATGCAAACATGAACCATTTTAAGTGTCATTTTTGATTAGTGCAATCAGATGGTTAATTTTGTTTTTAGTGAAACAGGTAGCCCTTTTCAAAAATGTTTGCACCTGAAAGCACATTCCACCTTGCTTTTGCCCCTAAAATTCCTTTTGAAAACATTAAACTCAAGTTGGAAGTATGCAAACATGAAACATGGTAAAATAACACAATTGATTACGGTGGAACCACCCAGAAAGCTGTTAAAAAATTGTTAGAGATGGCGGCATAGCCACTGATCTCAAAACATGCTTTTTTTTGTCACTTCCTATTAATTTGTGAAGTCAAGATTTAATATAATTTAATTAATTGTCCAATTAATTCTTGTGTTCCGATACTACCAACTTTAATTTAGATTTGCTTATAATTGTCTTGGAAGAGAAACCGGCTAAAATTATTTTAAGCTTAAAAATTCAGTTATTTCCAGCAACCTACATATTTTTTTGTTCTTCTTTCCAACAGTTTCATGATCTAGGTATTTCATCGCGATTGAATTGAACAGATGCAACAGCTTCTGAAGACCGTCTTTAGAATTTGCGATCATCCTATCATGACTGAATGCATACTGATGGCTGAAGTTGCAAAATATGCACCTCAGACTGCAACATTGTAGGTTTCCACTCATGTTTTAAACTTTTAAGGGCAAACTAGTCAATAGTTTTTAAGTAGGTACTGAGATTATTTGTAAATTTCCTTCACTCACTCTGCAGAAAATTCCACAGAATTTCAAGGAAAAACGATGATTGGTTTTATTTAAAGAAATAAAACATATAAAGATTTTTAAACATTGCAATTGCTAGTGACATGTTTCACATTTAGCCATCGATATGCTAAAAAAGAAAACTAACAGGATAATAGTGGAAATGGTTTATTTAGTGGTAGCTTAAAGCCTGCCTCAAAATTGAGGGATTTTGATTTAGTGTTGAACCTGATGGTAGAGTAAATGATGATTCCGTTTTTATTTTTTTTATTTTTACATTTATCAATGTTGTATTAAATGTAAGTAAGTTGGTGAGCAGTCAACTAAAAATTACAGTGAGGATAACATACCTTTTCTCCACTCGTTCACAAGCTAACAGAGCCTTAGTTGTTGATAAAACATTATGAATCTTTTCTTTTTCCTCCTCTGAACCAGTTACACAAAAATCTTTCGGGCCAAAAGAAGGTAACTGTTTTTTAGTAGTTTTTAGCCGTTCTTCAATTAGCTGCTCCGCACTAGAAAACAGGAGAATACATGACATTGGAGGTCTACACAGTCATTACTGAAAAGCAACTTCCACCTTGTTAATTTCGGTAAAATCATTTGATGAGGCGTTTTAGGAAAGATAAATGAGATTAAAAATGAAACTGGGAGGGTAAGTTATGCAACTGATCTATCTTGGTTTAATCAATTCAAGAACATGTGTATTGGGTTAGGAGCAGCCATTTAAACTCTTTTTCTGAGAGTAAGGTGTGAACTAAGCTCCTTGGAATTTTTCAGATTTTTTTATCCTAAATGGTGAGGAAAACTTTATTTGAAAATGCTGAGAACAGGATCCATTTGAAACGATATTTTTGGCAGGCTCTGATGATGCAGCTAGGCATATACTGTGGTACCTTTACTGCCCTTAAATATGAAAAACAGAGTCATTACTAAGATACTGATTAAACTGCCCCCTATACTGCCGTGCTAAGGAAAAACGCCCTATGAGCCTTCAGGCATTGCCAAATTTACTTTGACAAATCACTAATTTCAAGAAAATTTGTGAATATTATCTCCACTTTCATAGGGAATTTTGCTTGTGATTTGATCTAAAAATTCTTAAAATTTTAAGGAAAAATATCAACAAACATCGATAATTGATAATCGATAGACATTGTATCGTAGCAAATTTGGCAACTCTCGAATGTTCATATGGTGTTCTTCATTAGCATGGCAATATAACAATGTCAATACTTCACTAATATACTGAAAGTAAGGGTACTTCCTCCAGTATCAACAGCTGGAAGCGCACTCACTCCACTCATCAAGCCTCTTGGCAGGTCTCCTAGCCTGCCACCCGACAAGCCCTTCTGGAGCATTATCTTTTCTCCATAAAAAGCATGTTTGGCTACAGGTTTAACCAGCGACCTGAGAGGCCGTTTGACGCACCATGTGAATTTGCCTTGATGTGAACTTGGACAGGTCACCCTACCACAGTGACGTGGCGTACTTTGCGATTCATCGATTGATCTGCCATTTAAACCTATGGAAAAAGATCGATAAACAGGGTGTTCGCTGCGAACACCTTAAAAATCAATTATTTACCATAACTTCAATTAGAGAAAAATCGATAATCAAACGTTCGCGCCTCGCCACTGCCCTGCCAATTCACTCAATGCCAGTAGTCACAATCCTATAAGTATTTAGCTGATGCAGTCATGCCAGTTGTTGGATAAAATTGCTACCTCGACAGAGCTCTCAAACGATTGTCAAACTCTCGACGGGTGATGAGTTTTCAACCAAAGGCGTAGCTTTGAGTTTTTGGATCCTGGTGCAGGATATGCTTCATCAGCTTGATCTTGCCAAAAATTAATAATTTCTTACTTAGCGACAGCTTTTTAAGGAGCATTCAAACTACATTTTGCGATATCAGAAAAGATTGTTTCAAGGTATCTTACGTGAGTATTTTCGCCATCCTTGTGTCGCCTCCTGCGAGTGTCAATTCTGTTCAATGAGGACAGTTAAGAGCAACTCCAAAAAGACAGACTTGCATAAGCAGATGACATGATCGCGATAATGGACAAACATGTGGGTTGATTTGAGTTTGATAAAGTCCGCTAGTGAGATGTCAAGGTTCTGTTGAACGTGACCATGAGAGAGTAGACTTTCAATTAGTTCGAAAAATTTATAAATGTAGAGTGCGTTTGTACTTGCATTAAGTAAATGATTGCAGCTGCAGGAACCAAAGAGAAACTTGCTGTTTTTCTCTCACTTTCAAATTCTAACCTCAATAATTATCACACTTCACACTTTGCACCGTTGCCTGATTGTTGCATGCCGTTGATGCGTTTTCAATGCAATTTTTCAAAATTATCACCTCTGCGGAAAAAATCCATAATTGAGCATCGCGAAGTTTTATATTCTTCAGAGATGAATCATGAACCCTTCAAATCTGTCCTTGAAGTTATCATGAACTAAATTTTCCAATTTAGGTACTCTAAATTGACAACCATGTGAGCTTTTGGCAAATTAAGGTTATGTTGACATTTCTCGCTGGTCTGACTGAGTATGGTGGAAGTGAAGTGAAACTTTTAAACTAAATTGGACTTAATCGGCTTTCTTTAGCACCTGATCGTAAGTTGCCTCTCCTATTGATTTTTTAGGGATTACAACTAACGGTAAATGTTATTGTAGCATTCACTATTTTAAATTGATCGGACCTCCTCTATTAGCACCGTATGGACTTGTGCCAGCATCCCCATCCTTTCGCACAACAGCCTTAGCAGCTTATCCTAAGTTGATCTTTTTTTGTCCCTCGCATAGTGCCAAATTATGTCTCCTTAAGTCTTGTAATGGTGCATCAGTCAATCTGGGGTAGAGAGATTCTGGTGGCAGGATAGCAGTCGCCTCCAGGACTCCGACGTGTTTTAGTTCCATATTGAATCACGTAGAAAATTTACTATCCAACACAGGGTTTTCTCTGAAATAAAAGTCTTAAGTTCAAAGAAAGCTCACAAAGTTGAAGCTACAGTGAAAAGGGTCACCTTTGTCATGGTGAGAGTCCATCCCTAGATTCAATTGAACTTGCCATGCTGTCCGTCTGCAGAGAGAGGAAATACATTTCGATGGTGAAACTACCAGACCACGTCTCTTGGTTTGCGACGTTGCAGACTTCCCATCACATTTTACGTTTCAAATGGAAGACTACTCAACGGCAAGTTTTAAAAACTGTCATGATTTTTCTTCTCTGTGCGAAGAAAATTTTGTTAAAACTTCAAGTACCTAATGACGTTGATTCGTCCACCTGTAAAAAATGATGTGGGAGCGGAGATTTTTAAAAATTGCAAACAAGATACATGGTTTGGTAGTTTCACTGTCAATTTGCTTATTGTGACTGTAGCCTTGAAGTCCCCGCAGAAAGTGGCAAGCCTGCCATTGCCTTGGTTTTCCACCTCTACATGAAGAGTTTGACTAGGCAATCCCCACCATCACTGCCAGGGCCGGATTTAGCTTTTTGCCGCCCCTGGGCAAGCTACATTTTGCCGCCCCTGGGTCTGCAATATTTCGCCACTATATTGTCAACAGTATCCCCTCCTCCCCCTCCCCCTCTCCGCACTCCCAACTTCCCACGCCATCTCATCTTGCCCCCCCTCTGCGCCGCCTGGGCGCGTGCGCGTAGCTGCTTCAAAATGCGCCGCGAACATATAAAATGCAATGGATGGATGAGACAAAAATAAAATGTGGAGACAAAGTTGAAGCTAGTGTAGCTTAATGTATTAGTTGCAATGTATTTTCGGAAGATCAGGTTAAAAAGTTTTTCTCCGGGTTTTCAGTTTAGCAAAGCTGTCGACCAGAGCATCAACGTCTAAATTGATTATCAAGTCTGCCTCGATGTTTAAAATTGCCGTGTTAGTATCACTCCAACGAACGATCATCCTAGCGCTCAAGGCCGGACCTAAGGGGCGGCAGCTTTGCCGCTCCCTTCAAGCGTCAACTCCCTTTCTTCATACATTTTGCCGCTCATCTTTTCACTTCGCTCCGTCTCTGTCTCCATTTTTTACTTTTTTCTCGCTTTAACTTGCAATTAATCCAGTGCCAAAATTTGCCGCTATGGGCAAGTGCCCCAGTGCCCTATAGGTAAATCCGGCCCTGATCACTGCCCTAAATTTTAACCAGTGGCACCATTGTGTTCGCAAATCTCTGGAATATCGCGTGTAATGCAATGAATCTAAATTTCTTTTGATAGCTCATTGGCTTTACTCAGTAGTAGGTGTATCTATTGCCTCTCTTGTATTTCGTTGTTATTAACTTTTGTCTTTCACCCAAAATTTTCTGAAATTTTAAATTTACAACACACCTACAAGGGATTATGAACAGAGAAACAACGTGTCAGCGATATTTTCCTACATTGCAGTGCTATTAAGTCCTGCCGGCCCTGGCCCTTTCATGGGTCCAGATACAAGAGAGCCAAGAAAATTTCAGGTTAAACAGAACCTTTTGCTTGGAAAAATCACATTACTTATTTTTAAATTAAAGCTATCCTGAACAAGACAAAGCTTTGGTTCAAGCAAGTGAATCGGGCCCAAATTTCAGATCACCTCTGTGGCTTATACTTTAGCATCAAATGGTTTTGATCGATTTAATTAAATTCCTTCTTAGTTTTCAGTTTCAAAACTGTTTTGGTATTCTGAAGAAGTAAATTGTTTCAAAACTGTTTTGGTATTCTGAAGAAGTAAATTTCATCACTCTGTTTGCAGATGACCTCCGTAACAAGGAGCCTGAACACCCGTGCTGTTAGGCGGCTAGAGAAACCAAGACCTTTAAATCGACCAACGGAGGGGGTTGAGTCATTCACTCCATCTATTGAAACAAATATAAGTGAGTAAACTTCCGAAAATCTTTCTCTGAAAGTAGGTAGCAAATTCCTGGTCAGTTTGTACTTTTTAGTAAACGTAATTGTTTATACTTTTGCAAAACCGCTGAAAAAATTGTGTATTTGCCGCGATGTTGAGATGGTAACCGTATAATTTCTCACTTTTTTTACGAAATTGCTGGTAAAATAGCTTGGTGTCTGCTTTGACCAGTGTTGATCCATAAAGCATTGTCAAACTAATTTCTGTGAAATTGTATAATATTCACGGAAATTTGCTTAACAATGCTTTATGGATCAACCTTTGTCAAAGCAGACACCAAGTGCACAACTATCCGAACTTTACAGTAGGTATGTGTCATGATGTAAAAATAAAGGAAAATTTGAGTTTTTTGCTTGTCTACTTTTGGTGTTGTTCATTATTTTAAAGGTGTTTTTTTCTGCTTCTAGGCGAAGGAGTCATGACTCTTCTTGATTTTGTATCCTCTACAATCTCCAAAGAAAACTTTGACGATGTTCTGGCAGTGAACATTGGTATGCTCTGTAAGCAGCTTGAATTGTATGGTGCTCAGCTAGAAGCCACCAACAAAGGTATACACCTACAATACAAGATGACTGAATCCAATTTTTTTGGTAGCCTTACTAAGTGCACTGGAATTTCTCACATTAATTTTTAAGTCAAGAAAAAAGTAAAAAGTTGGAAAATTGAAAAATGGATAAATTATGGAAACCCTATCAATGTGTCTTGCTCTTCATACCTATTTAAATCAAATAGCCACCAAATTTTACAGCTCATTATGTTTAAAATTGAACTAAGGGATCTTTCAGTGCTGAAGTCTATTTTTTTAATATTTTTTTCCTGAGCTAATTTTTCCACACTATTTTATTATTTAGCTGCTTTTCCCTAATATTTTATTACTAACCACTTTTTCCAATTTATTTTTATTTTTTTCCAGCCCAGTTAGATCAAGCGTTCTATTTATTCCGGGATGCTTCTAGAAATAATAGATTGGATCACGTTGCTCGATTAAATCTGCTGAAACTTATTGAGCTAAGAGACTCTCACTGGCAACCTGGAAACAATTTTACATCATTTTATACAGCAAGCTTCAGCCCTGGATCAGTAAGAATCAGTCCAATTAATTAACCTAGTTTATTAATTAGTTTATTATTGTATTCAGTTCAATCCAACACAATTTGAATGTAGCATCTGTAAAAACTGAAAAGAAAATAGGTGTAGAAACATTTTTACTAAATTGACTTTCAGACAAAATTCCTACAAATTTAATAATTCTAGTGTAAATTTTCTCTTCAAGATTGCATACAAAGTACGATTTGTGCAACAAAATGCACTTAAATTAACACCTAACCAAGATAGGTATTGATTTTATTTGGCATTGGTTACGATAAATTTTAATTTTCCACTCCTAAGAAAAACTGGAGTCTATTTGAATAAAATTGTGCCGTACAACTGTTTTGGCAGGCTTCTCAAACAAGCAGTGTCCCTCCCCCTCTCTGTGTCATTCAAAGTTTAAATTCAATAGCTGAGTTGAAAGGAAAATATTGAGGTTGTCTTTTCCATTCTGCACAGACTGTCATGATAACGTTCAGTATGCAATGCAACTCAAGTAGGTTAAGGTTTCTATATTTAGCGAGAGAGTTGAATGGATGTGTCGAACTTTGTTAATTTCTTTGTTAGGAGTTACTTTTAGTAATTTTTTTTGTACAAATCGTGTTCTAAATGAAATTCTGATGAGATAATGCAAATTCTAATGCCTTAATTCCCACTTTTTCCAGTGGTCCTTTGAAAAATTCTAAAAAATCCGATCAGAACTTTTCAAAAAAGAGTTGCCTATGTCAATTACGAGTATGCTGTCCAAGTTGAAAGGTCGTAGAGGCAAACGTCTTCTCTTTTTTGTCTCTGATCCTTTGAGTCTTATTAATTTTTAATATTTTTCATTACAGTTGGAAAACGCTGTCAATGAACTGACACTTAACTCCAAATCTGTGCCTTATCCTCCCCTCTCACCTGTTTTGAGTCCTGGAGAAATGATCAAAGCATCAGGAAAGTTTCCTAAACCAACAAAGTTGCCAGGGAAGAACTACTGTAAAGATGAAGTAGTTATTCGCAACGCTGACTCAGGAAAAGGTACCGACAAAATTCTTATCTCATACCAATTTTCACACCGTAATTTTTTCTGTTCCTTTTTTTTATTTAATGCATCCTATTTTTTAAAGTATGCAAACATGTATTAAATTGGATAATTTGTTATTTATCTGTGAAATTTTCTCAAGATGATAAGAAAGTATTTTTCCTTACATTACAGTACTCTCCCTCTGTCTCTACATCAAAGTCCGTTGTGACTAAACATCCTCCGTAGGGGAGGAATTATGTAGCCCTCATGCCACCATATTTGCGCCATGCGCTACTTTCTTTAAGGAAATTTTCGTTGTAACAAAAATCTCACAGCCTGTTGCCAAATCGTTTTTTTTTTAGAAAGAGTGTATTGTATTTAATAAACATGCAGCAAGTAAAAATTTCACAGTATCCTGTGTGTACCTAGTTAAAACCTAGTTGTACCTAGTCATGTTGATACGGCGAAAAAAAAAAAAAATTCTGTGTAGGTAGCAGTATTTGCTGTTGAGAAATTGGAACAAGTATCAGAATTAAACGTAGTGGGGAAAAACCTGAAGTGAGATGAAAGAAAGAACATATGAAATATGTTATTGCAATGTGTTACCGTTTCACAAAATGAACTTTTTTTATCTAGTAATATGTAAGTACAGTACTGTTCTATAATTTAAATAGCGGAGGTTTGAAGATATATACTCCAATGGCTTCATGAATATAATCATATTTTTAATAGAAGAGTTAAGTCAGATTTCCTCTAGATTATAACTTACACTGAATTTAAATATGATTCACCTGTTACAAAATTGAAACGAGACAAGCTGTTGCAGCAATGAAATTTTGATCAGAGATCGTAAACCTCCTTAGTCAAATTTTTGCAAGTGGATTTGGTTAAGTTTTTTGTAACATTACTGCCAACCTCTGCTACAATAAAAGAAAATTCCTTCAGGGTGACGGTGCGCTTACTTCATTTGGTTTTCATGCTGGCGGCAATGGCTACCACATCTGAAATTCTCCTAAGGTGGACTGAAACGTGAATAGCTATGCAAATATGTATTGGCAAACATTTATGAAGTAACTGAGTTTAGTTTTTGACTGCAGCAAAGCATTAATCTCCTTTGGTTTGCAACCCTGCCGATCTGGTTGAAAAAGTTGACCAAATCCACCAGCGGAAATTTGCCTCTGTATTCATTGCTTCTGATCAGCGCTTATTGCTTAAGTAGGAATCAGGTTAATGGATATATTTGTTTAGTGATGGGAATCAAAGGCAGACGTGTGCATATGATAGAAGAACTGAGTGAAACTATTATTTCGTTCCAGAGAGGTAAAATTTTTAATTATCTGTCCACTATTGTGTGGGAATGGCCTCAAGTTCATGTCTTGCTGCTTTTAACAGCTTGAAACGTTTTACCCCCTCACAAGAGATTAACCTCAAAGCAAACACTCAAACAAACCAAAAACATTCACACTTCCTCAAATTTTTCTCTAAGTTCGGAATGGTAAATTTTCAGTAGGATTTTAATTACTCATGCATCCATGACTCCTCTTCAAAGCGGGTACATTTTCTCCAAGAATGAATAAACTTCTGCCTTAAAGCATACATTTGTGTGTGTATGTTGGGAGTGTCCTCTTGGTTTTCAGTAAGCTATTGGAACAGCCCTAGTATAAAAATGTAACGATGAAAAGACTCTCACACATAAGTCAGAGTTTTTATTGCTCGTAGAAATGGACTCTCGTCATGAATATAACTTATATGGGCCAAGCGACTGAATAGACAGGCAGTGGTGCTGCGACTCGAAGCTTTCGCAATTCTGATAAAGCTGCCCGTCTCTGACAAGAACGGCCGGAATCGGAAAAGATCGGTATTTAGAAACATGCAGTACATGTAGTTTACCATCAATGATTCATCTGGACACCTCTCAGTCAGATCAGTCCCCTCAGATCAGTAAATTTATTTTGTGAAATGAATCAACCTAACAAAAATGGAGCTGTTTTCTTCCCTTGGCAGTACGGATATTCTTTGTGGAATGATGTTGAGGAGAAGTTTTATTTTCTTTTTTATCATTTTTTTTTTCCTGCTGTTATCAAAAAAGAAGTAGCTTTCATAATTTTAGGAGGTTCGAACCAAGCTTAGAGGAAGTTTGAGGATCCTTTTTCTTTTTTCCCCTTTTACGATTGTAATTCTAAATCTTTCTTGCAACATATTCTTCTTTTACATTCTTTTTACCCTCAGATTTAACCAATGTCTCCTCTGCTTGAGAGAATTCCCAAGAGTGGAATTTCACAATCATAAAATCCCCTTGCTTCCGAGCCCTAACATGTTTGACTCCAATCATACAAATGTTTTATCGTTTCAATGCTTAAATCCATTTACCAAGAAATAAATGCCTCTCATTTTGATTTTTGTATGTACCAAATACAGCGACAACAACATTGAATAGTTTATGAGAACTGCACTTTTGCTTTGCGTCTGCTTTCAATAATCAGGAAGGACTTAATGTCCTTTAATCTGAATCGTAACATCAATAGCTCTACTTTTCAAAGTTATTTGAGGCAAACAAACAGAAAATTTGATTCTAAAGAAGCAAGTTTAAGTGGTATTAAAATGAAAAAAAAAGGGACGGATAAAATTTTATTCACAGATTTATATTTTTTCTCACACAGCCTTCAAGTCAGTTCAAGTCAGATGTATGGGCAGGGAAAGGAGGGAGTTGATAAAAATAAAGGAATATAAGTGATGGATAAGATGAAAGCTGAAGTTATAATGTGAGTAAGAGTTAATTGCAATAAAATGAAGGCTCAGGATGAAAAGTAAGGATCTTAACAAAACCAGAGGTTTCCTGAAAGAAACTTCAATGATGAAATTTAGCAGTAAATTAGCTGTATTTCTAAAAAGAGAAAATAACAGATTTTTAGGAGTTAAATACATATTATTGATTTTCCCAAATTACCTTATTATGGCATATTATCTTCCAAGGCGAAGCCATATAGAGGATACACTTTTTTTATATTCCTTGAGTGATGCACTTCTAACAAGATTTAATTTAACCCAGATATTAACGCACTAATTTCAGATCTCTAATAGTGTAGTTTTTTGCTAACGTAATTGATTAGTTTTCGTTTTAGGTCATCATCCCAACAAAATTATGAAGTCTCTTTTGTTTTCAATCACTGTGAAGTATTTGAGTTGTCAACAGTGATCATGGAGATTGGTAGAAATAATTTTAGACCTCAATTTTTAGTTCCATGACCATATTGAGCATGTTGAATAAAATATGAATAGAAATCGATCTCGTCACTGAGTCTGACTTTTTTTTATGATAAATCAAGAGTAAAGGCTAAGAATGTTTGTGTTTAAAATATTCAGCGGAAGACATTAATAAGAAAGGGCATAAAATCAATAGGATCCGATTGAAATGCTGGTACGGATTTTATTTTTAGACACCTTGTATTCAGCAGAAAATTCTATTTTGTAATTTCCCTGATTACATCTTATCATAATATAATCTTATCAATTGCATTTATCTCAAAGGCTTTTTTTTTATAGCGAATGGCTTCTTGCCAGTTATGTGCTAAAGAATGCTGATATGAAATGGCAGCTTATCTTTATTCGTGTTCTTCCCGCATTCTGACTTTTTTCCTCAATTTTTTCCATGTATTTATCGTACAATGAATATTGATCGGCAACAATTTTTTTTGTAGTGATGTTTACAATTGGCAACTTTAAATCCGATTTGGCCCCTCTTTCAACCTCAGATTGTTACAAATCCAGTTTAAAGTTCCCTGGAGACTCTAGTACAACTGGCAACATTTTTTCTTTCTAATTTTGAACTTTTTCATTAACTCATTCTTTCCATATTCATTCAGTGCTGTCAATATCAGAATGATAGTGGTATTTTAGAAATCGTTCATTTTTACCCACGGTATTTTATAGCTGCTTCCCTCCTCTACAACTATTTTAATGCATCAATCAAGATAGAATTGGATGGTATTATATCAGAGAAATTACCGACTTGAAATTGAAATTTTTAAACAGACTCAAGACAAGTAAGTTAATGCTAGTGTTAAATGGAGGGATGAAGAGTTCAAAATAGGCTTGAAACTCCAAACAAAAGGAAAAAAAAATTATGTGAGGTCCTGTATGCCGTCAGTCATATTGCCGCCTAAATTCCTCTCAACAAGAGTTTTTAACGCTCACATTTTCCTCCAACTTATTGATTAGGGTTGGGCTAGTTTTTCTTTCATTTCCCATATCCAATTAAACTCTTTGTTTTTTCAGTCCCATCAGGTGCTAAAGAGAGGCTTGTGCAAATCACAGGACCGTCAGAAGACAATATATCGTGAGTATAATATTAAATTCAGTCATGATCAAATTTTCTTTCTCTTTCACCATTCTCTCACCGTATTCAAATCCATTTTGCATTGTAGGTACTGGGTCTTCTTCCCTGAATAGAATAATCGGCAAGATTTCATGTTATCCAATGGCTGTAAGGCATTGCCCATCATATTAGTCTTAACTTCACCAGTGTGTTTTTTCTAGATGAGCCTTTATCTAAATTTCAGTCATCTCTACTTGATTTCAAGTTTTTTCAAAATCACATTTTTACTCCTTCCTGAAGAATAGAAAATTCTCAAGATTTTATGATGTCCAATAGTCATTAGATTTAAATTACTTATAATTTTAAGTATAATTTTACTTGTGTGCTCATTTCAGTTGAGCTCTTAGTTAAGATTGGATCTATGAATAGATTGCGGCTCTACTTACAAAAGACAGTGATTTTTCCAGCATGTGTTCAAATTCAGTGTAAAAGTATACAACTGAAATTCCTTTTACAGAAGGAAAAAGCAGAGCCGTTTGGATAATCGCTCCATGCCAAAATCTTGGATTGGTTTTTTCGACCTCTCTGAGCTTGGAAACAGACAATTCTGAGGCTGTGTTGCACTGATGATGGGTTCAAATACATCCAAAAAACTTCCTTAGTTGTTTTTCTGATGGATCGCAACTAGTGTTGCATCAAACAGCATTTATCTTGAGGAGAAATTTGTTTAGGAATGGGGTTTTTACCTCTTTAATGAGAATTTGAGTTTTATACTGAATTTTTCTGCTTGTTGGAAAAATCATCAACACTTTGTCTGAATTCTGGTCGCCTAGAATTAATATTAAGATTAGGTGAAAATTAAAAGTTGATTCTGAAGTTAAAAAAACTCATAGTTGCTGAGTACTCACTAATGTAACTTTCATCAATTTTTTAGTCATGCCATCCACCTAATGGATGATACAATCAGGAGAAATGCATCGCCAATCCGAGAACCAGTCGAAAAAGACCAAATGGGTGGATCCAGCTCTAGTCTCAATAGCAGTGCATCTGATGAAAGCAACAGAATAGCCAACCATATCAGTAAGTTTGTAATATCCTAGACTCATGTTTTACCAAATAACTAAAATTAGTCATTTGATATGAAACAGATCCATTCCATTTAAGTGGGAAACGTGCAAATTAAAGAGAGAACACATGGATTGCATTTTGCAAAAAGGAACCACGAGTATTCTAGTGTTGCTAAGATTGTGTAACTTACATTCTTTTAATATAAATACCAAAATCATGGAAAAAACTAAATTCAGAAATGTAATTTTTGTCTTAAAGTTATAGTTAATTGGGATTGAAAACATTTTTTTCTTAGATAATCTGGTTATATTTGCAAGGCAAACAAAGTTGCACAATTTTAGCGACATTGGAATGGTCTTGGTTCCTTTTTGCGAAATGCAATCCTCATATAAGTCAAGAAAAGGAATGATACTATGAAAAGCCTTCTATCAAAATAAAAAATTGGAATTCCTTGATGCTAGAGAGAGTGAATAGGAATGTTGTAGCAAGCAAAAAAAAAAAAACAAAATATACAAAATATAGTAAAAACAGCTCCCTGTCAAAGGTGCAAAACAAACTTGGTAGCAAATTATTGTTGACATTAATTGCACTTCGATGACATGAAAGCTAGGATATTAATGATGAATTAGCAGATTCGACTCTCAATATAAACAATCATTCCAATCCTTTTTTCAGAAAACTGCTAGTCCAAGAACTCCATTGGCATTTACAATTTCAGGCTTCTTAAATTGAAAATAAATATTTTATGAATCTTGGATCAAAATATAACTATTAGCTGATTAAGAACTAATGGAAACTGATTTTCAAATTCTCTGTTTCAATATTTTTTTCATAGAAATTACTTTGCATTTTATTCCACTGTAAACTAAACAAATTTTCAATTTTTGGAAGGTGAGAAACGATTGCACAGCAATTCAACGAACGAATCAAGTTTTGACGAATTCAAGTATACTGTAACTGTGGGTAATGAAGTTATTCGTATTGTCTCAAGTAACTTTGGTCTAGCCATGGTGAGTATTTCTGATTTTGTGTGTCCGTTTTACTCAGTAATTATTTAGTTAATCTATAGGAGGTAGAAGCTCATTTCGATGGCTTCAGTAAAAAAAAGGCATATCTCAGATTGCTATGGTTCAGCATGATTATGGGAAATGGGCGACAAAGCTCAATCGACTCTATGCCGTGTCGATTGGGTTAGCAGAGAGTGATTTTTGAATTTCTCGGACCTGACTTGACAAGACTAACTGGCTATTTAAGTGGATTAGACAAAGTGGCAGCGTTGCCATCGTTGATTGCGTAATTATCAAATTTTTAGATGTCTTTGAACCAATCAAAACGCAGCACGGCCAACTGAATGACATCAGTCCGCCTTTTTACTTATCCGCTTATTGATGACGTAGATTTGGTTGTAAACAACCCGTTGACTGCTGACTTGGCTAACATACGGTTGGTCATTGGATAGAATGATGGAATACTCAGCCCTGCGCTATGTGGACTATGAAGACGCGTCTGAATTCGTTGGGACGAATCTCAAATAAAAAGTTGCACTTTTTCACTTCATAAGTTCCTTTTTCACCGAATCATGTGAAAAAAATTTGAGGTTATTCATCGATTAAGCCTTTGTCGGGTGCTCCGGAGGTGCCTTTAGTTTGTCGACACTATGTCGCCTCTATGTCCATGAACCGATAAGACATAGATTTCAAAAATCGCGCCTCCACTCAATCGATTGTGCAAAACGACAAAGCGGTGAGATAGAGTCGATTTCATTTCAATAATCAATCTACAGGTCTTTGCTCTTGCTGTATTTTTTTATCTAATGGAAAAGGGGCCAACAGTTTGTATTTGAATTTCCTGTGAATTTTCTTCAATTATTCTAAAAAAGACCACACAAAATTGCGAGAAAACATTTTGATGAGAAATCCTGAGAGAAAGTTATACCTATGTAGTGGAATTTTTAAATGTGTGCTGATGAGGCTCAGTTTTTGAGAAAATCATATTAATTACATATAATTTGCTGTACTTAGTACTTCGCAAAAGCAACCAACTTTTGAGGTAATCTATGCTGAAATAAAATAGTGAATCCTTCAGTATCAATGTTTCTCTTAAACCATATGTAATGCCAATTAAGTCAAATATGGTAATTAATTTTCAAATGTTATGCTATCAAAGAGGAAATTAAATTCAAGTTCCAATCTAAATGTATTGAGGTCTCTCCTATTAATGTGTTTTTAATTTTTTTTCTCTCTTCTTTTACAGACAGCGAAACTTGTACTCGATGAACATTTTGCAAATGCTTCAAATCCGATCGAATCATCTGATTATTTTTCTCCGTAAGTTTAGTAACTTTAGTTTTTCTTTTTCTTAATTTTACATTGAGGAAGACTCCGAAAGAAGGTCCCATAAAATTTGGGCAAGTTTGTTTCTCTGATCACTCTTGTCAGGGCAAGCAAGTCGAAGCGGTCTCAGCCAGTCATGCTGTCTTTTGTTCACTGCTGCTTGGAAAAATGCGCACCCCAGACTATCTTGGGCCCCTTTTTTTGAACCTTTTACAATTTTACTGCTAAATACGTTTTAGTACTCTGAAAGTAATTCTACTCTATTAGATTAGTGTAAATGTTATCAGAAAAGGAAGGAATTCTCTGTGAAACCAAGCTCAAGTTATTTGTTTAATGTTCAGACTGATTGCTCTGCCGTAATCGGCCTACGTTTCTTATGGAGTTTTGCGAGCGAAAAGTTTAAGTTTACTGTTTGTAATGTAAACTACGCACATTTATACTCACCTATGTGTTAATTACTTAGTTTTGAAATTTTTTGATAATTTTAACGTGTTCTGCGTAGAATTTTGAAGGAAAAAAACATGTGCTGTAGTGCTCAATTTCTTATCATGTCTAGTGGTCCTCTGAGGTTAGTTTACTTGACCGATGTTCCATTTAATGTTGCAGGTGCAAAAGTAACAGTAGTATGTATTCAGTAGGTGTAAACGAAGTAGTGCCCAGTATTTCAAAAAAATTATCAATGGACAACGATAGCCTAAAATCATCTGGCATATCTCTCGGCAGCACCAGTAGTTTAAATCCAAGCTTCTCTTCACTATCCAGCACTCCAAGCGGAATCGCTTATTCAAATTTATCCGGCTCTGTCTTGAGCAGTGATCTACAAAGCCCACCTATTGCGCAACCCTTCTCCTCTTACGTTGCAAACAACTTGGTAAGTGAACAGCTGAAGAAACTGCTGTATGTTTATAAAAGTACACGTCAGACTCAATTCTTTAGTTTGCATCCCAGATGTCTTGATCTTATTTTGCTTGAGTGTAGTTGCATGATAGATGAATTTTCTTGACTCCTTGTTTGAACATAGCACCATGTGAAGGATTAACTTTAAGACCAGGGTTTGAATTGCACCATTTCAAAATTTCCGTGCATACTTAATTGTTTGTGAGGATCACTGACAATTTCATCGCTTAAAATTGTTTCTGCTTTTCCTGTACCATTTCATTATCATTGCTAAAAAGCTGTAATCAGCAAGGATGTTGATTTGCTTACCTCTTAAAAGTAAAATACTCGTGGATATCTTGAAAATTATGAAACGTTGCAATTGAGGTATGTTGTTTTAGAGTTAAGCTGGTAACTTTGGCAGAATAGTTGACAAATGTTCCTGTGTTTCTGAGTCTTAACAGATGGAAGTTATGCCGTTAAGTTAAAATTTTCTGAAACTGATATTTGTAACTTAAAATCTTTGTTCGTGGTTTAAATCAGCAGTTCTTAAATGATGGTCAGCAAAGGCTCATCAATTTTCTTTTTTAAAGTATCGCCCAAAATAAGGCAACACCGGAAAGAAAACATTCTCAATGCTCTCATTAGAGAATAACAGTGAAGATTTAACCTCCCCTCTTTTAATAAAACCAATAGTATAAGTCAAATCAGAGAAACTTAGAAAAAAAAGAAAAAAGCAGCTTTTCCTTGCAGCCAAAATGTGGTCTATGCTCCAAAAAGATTGAAAACTGCTGGTTTATTTTGTTATAACTATATATAATTCTGGTATATTTGTTCTTGTACTTCTTTAATGTTTCACAACTTACATTTGCTTCATTGGAATGCTTTCTTCAATGCCAAAAAAAGTTGAAATAAGAAAAAATTAAATAAGTGAAGGCAGTTCTAAACGCTGAACTGTAATGACTTAACTTTTATTTGGATGATGCACTGACATGAATTTGAAACACTGACTGCTTATTAGTCAGCAGTTTTGCCCCGGAAGCGTAGGACAAACCCATGTGTTAAAATGGCAGATTTCACGTGTGGTATGGTATCATGAAGCTCCATCAGACCTGCCATGCTTTGCTGGCACAGCGGAGGTACGCAGCACAGGGTCTACTGTATTCATTGTCTTTTTCCAATATACTTCACTTGTCTGACTATTCTATACTGTTAATCCATTTTCAGATCAGCGACTCAAACCAAATTGGAAATCAGTCAATACTCAGCAGCAATTCAAGCATTTTGAGTCCAGTTATATCGGCGGATTCTGCTAATAATGTGATTTTATCTAGTCCCGGTGACCTTGTGACCCCCATCAGTCTAGCAGAGCTGAATGATGGTCGCAACAAAGCCTTTAGTCTCAACCAATCTTTAAGTGCACTTCTTTCTGTTACTTCCACTAAGAAAGGTGAGCTTATCACCTTGGAAACTCTGGTCAATTTCTATTTAAACCTTCTTTTGGATAGTAGTATTATCTTGTGTTTACTTGACTCATTTCTCAATCACCTTTTTAGACTTTATCTTTAGAGACTTTAATCTTAATTTTTTTACAAATTTTTGGTCTTAATTTTCTTGCTGAATAGTGTGGACCGAGCACTATTCTACTATCTTGTTGTTTCCAATTTTTGGGACACATTTTAACTAGTTTTTCTTTTCTTACGTATTTATTCACCATAATTTTAGTCAGTCGAACGGAGGATTATGCATGAAATTTCTCCATATAGTCATAAGCTTTCATACTCTTGCCTCCTCGAAACATGTAAAATAATTTTAAATTGAATTGAAATTATTTATTTCATTCTTGATTGATGATTTAAATTAAAACTTTATCATGAGTTGAATTGCATTTTCACCTTAAGAATCTTAATATTTAATTTGAAAAATAGAATGAAATTGTGAATCAACCACTGTACTAATTGCGAGGGGCGTTGGTTCATTTGAAAGGTGTTGTTCTCAATGCTTCGGGAAAACTATAAATTATTTTCTGGGGTTCGTCCCCGATTTTTAAATCCCTAAAAACTCATAAATTGGATGAGGGGAAGTGGGGGTT